AAATGGGAATGAAACAAAATTTTAAGTTTGATAGAATTAGTAAGAGCTATTTTAAATAGATCAGAATGAAAATATCAGATAGCTTTCCAATTTTTGAAAGTTTAGTAAAGTGTAGATGTAAAGAATGTTAGGAACATGTAAATAAGAATGTTAATGACCTGTGAGATGGAACATAACCAGAAATATTTTAACATGTTTTTTAACATCATTATCTTCCACAGGCCAGACATAGTCCGAGTCAGTTATCTGGTGTGATAGAAATTGATTAGCCTGAAACCTGCTGAATCATGACATTGTTGATGAGCTTAGTCATAGACAGAACTAGGTATTGTTAGACATTGTAAGGATTACCGGTACTTAACAATACTACAAAGATTGGCAGATTTTAAGCCTTTTTCCTATATGTTTCAAATTGAGAAATGAGCAGGTTTATGCAGCTTCATATCTATCAGCTGCTTTCAAAGAAATATAGAATTCATAGAAAATTCACCATAAAGCAGTGAAGTGGCATCAGAGTGACTAGAGTAAGGGTTTCGGACTACACCAGACAGTACATTAGAAACTTATCTACTGCAATTCTCTCCAGTTTCAAGTCTGCTAGCTGGTTCTTAGTACAATAAATATGTTTACCATCTGGTTTTAAACCTTTATGTCATTTTCATTCTCACATTGTTCTCTCAGCAGGGCACTCGAATACAAATATTTCTAATTGCCATATGTCTGGTGGAGAGTTATCTTTACAGAATGGCACAAAAAATAGGAATGTAAAACTGCAGTTCAATTTATATTCTGTATATTTGCCAGATGTTATGTTTACTCTGAAATGTCTGCAAAGGACTAGATCCATTATTATTTCACTACCTGTAGTCCAATATTCCAGTCCATTCCATTTTCTGTTAGGACTGACAGGAGCAGAAGTCAATCTTGGCAGCCATTTTGAATTCCCAGAAGTCTTAACTAATTGTCTATAGATATCATTAATTAGGTTTATTGTTATGGTAATTGTGAGAGCTTTATATGTATAAGATATTTATATATATGTCAGAGTACATGAACATAAACTGGTATTTGGTTACTATGTCTAAGTAGTCTTAATGGTCAAGAAACACTGTTGTTAGCAAAATTCAGATATTTATAATGCTATTTGTCTGGTATGATCAAGTAAGTTAGCCAGCAAAGCAATAATGGATTGGTGATCTCCAATAAAAGTCAACCTAATAGATATCAACTCTTATTGATTCTGATTGGCCTTAATAGCTTCTTTTCCTATTTAGTCTCTGATTACTAACATCTTTAATAGCTCCTGAACACTGTTAAAAAAATGTTTAAGAGCTTGTGTTAGAGTGAGATTGAGCTTGTTTGAGTTCCTGTACGGGTACTACTATTCTTAGTGAAACTGAATGACTTTGGTGAAACAAGAAATAACTCTTAGAATGTTATTGATTGTGTAAGATACTGAGAGGAAATTAAAGTGATTAACTAAACCTTGATATAATCCCTTTTAATCCAAATGCTGTTAGTTTTATTCCCACTTAATCAGTGCCATTAGAGTTAGTGAAGTTCTGTAATCCTGATGCTGTAACTTTTTTCCTATTGCCATACAAACGACTGATTTGAAAAAAGTCCCAACCGATTCAAAGTTTTATTTCTGTTCAGGCACTTTGTTTGAAAATCAACAATATTTAGAGAGATTAAATGTCTTTAATTCAAACCAAATTTAATTGCTAAGTTTTATTATCTTTTAATCATAACACGCCATGCCATTTCATCATAGGAGTTACACATGGCTTTAAAACATCTAAACAGAGTCAAATGCAACATGTTAGCTTTTATACATTCGAATCATTAAACATGATGGTGCCAATATCAATTGATTTTCTCCAGTTTGAAGTTGTAATGGATATTAAATTATTAGATAAGATATTGAGTTTAGATAAGATATTGTGATTATTATATCAGAACGTGATACCAGTAAAATACAACAGAAAAAGACGTGCTAGATCAATATTATAATACAAGTCTGACGATGTTTATCTGAGTACTAGTTGGACCGATTGGTTAGTTTACAGATTAAATAGTCTACATGACAGTTATCTCATAAAACTAATCAATCCAACTGATATAGGCTAACGTTGAGAGAAACTGGACAAGAACTACTCATCAAATATAATACAGGGCCACAGAAATAATGAATGACTGAGTTAAGATTATTTTAGGCATATGAACACCAAAGAAAGATTTATTTGCATGTGGACCACCTCATCATGTGATCAGTGTTATCTTTCCTCAACTTGTGGAGCTCAAATTCAATGAACTCTCAAGCTTTAAGCTAATAGGGTGATGAATGTCCTCAGGGAAATCTTGCAATGGCTAGTGAAATTATTGTACACTGTATTAAATGATATTATGAGTAGGAGTGTAACATTATAATCACATGATGATATTTACCACACTTTAATACCATGTTATAGTCCAGTGAGTTATTTCAAGGCCTGTATTTACATCATTACATACTTTACTTCACCTTTCACACCTCAGTATTTACTCATCTGATAAAACTTCCACATATTTATTGGGCTTGTGGTTTTCTTAAGAAGATATTTATGATAAAAGTAGTGATTGGGGTTTGACAATCATTTCACACAAACAATATGACAAAATATCATCACAACTTAAAGGGATTGTAAAGAGATTTTCTAATTTTTTTTAATGTGTACCTGTGATACTAATTTGAAAGATTTGCACCATTTCAATTGTCAGTCAGACATCTCTGGTTCTTACAGTTCAATTAAAACTAAGTATTTGATGATATCACTAATCGCAAAGGACCTTATAAAGCGTATTTCGTGATTAGCAACTTTATCACGGGCATATTTTTTGTGGAATTGCAGGAACCTCTGACAAATTGGTCCGATGCAATTTCATGCTATCCTTAACCTGATACACACTGAAAAATTAGAAAATCTCCTTACAATCCCTTAAAAACAAGAGATTTATTGCTTGACGGTGTCCCAAAGCACTTGCCAGAGTATCAGACTATTCAATAGAATCTTTTCTTAGGTATTGAGTCAATTTGCAACCACAAGATAAGACAAACCACCATACAGCTCCTGTGTGATGATAGTTCATTTTGAGGTTTGAGGTTTTTTATAAGCAGTTTAGAAATCCCCATTATATTAAATTAACTAACAAGTTGTTTACAGCTGATGTTAAAATCTAAAGTAGCTGGTATTTATGTTTGATCTCCTCCATTTAAAAAGGTTTAATTTGAAAAGTGTGTGTTTAATTTTACCGCCCCCAGACCAATTATACTGTTTACTATTTATATTTTATATTGACTGTGTGCTATTTATCACACTCCTTCTTGACTTGTAAACTGTCATCATTTACTATAAACGCTATATATCATATACTTAAAGATGGACTTCCAATTCACTTAAAAGACGACTTTATTCAACTTATTTTGAATTTTAACATTGTTAATAATAAAGTTTTTAACTTAGTAACTTACAGTAATAGATAAGTTTCAGTTTGTAGTTCTTACCAAAACCTGTTGAAAAAGAAATAAATAGTCCATACTGTGGATTTGACAAATTTCTCTCATTGCATATTAATGTATAGTATTATTTAACTTTAGTAGAATGTGAAATTCTATAAGAATTGTGTAAAACTTCATTTCATAGCTAGAAATGTTGAATTTCCAATTTGGTCCCATCATTCGTTTTTCAAAATTCTTTTTGAATTGTTATCCAATATTTTGATATCTGTTTTATTTACATTTTTCCCCAAGATATTGGAACCTCTCTTTAATACACGCACAGATATCATGCTGCAGCATGTATAAGGGTGTATCACAGATATCATCCTGTAGTATGTAAGGGTGTATCACAGATCATCTGAAGTTTTATAAACAATTTAATTTACACATCTTCTTATAAACATTACATTTTATACCATTTAATATGTCATGAACTCACTTAAATTTTATACCATTAAATATTTCATGAACTCACTTACATTTTATACCATTTAATATTTCATGAACTCACTTACATTTTATACCATTTAATATTTCATGAACTCACTTACATTTTATACCATTTAATATGTCATGAACTCACTTAAATTTTATACCTTTAAATATTTCATGAACTCACTTACATTTTATACCATTTAATATGTCATGAACTCACTTAAATTTTATACCATTAAATATTTCATGAACTCACTTACATTTTATACCATTTAATATTTCATGAACTCACTTACATTTTATACCATTAAATATTTTATGAACTCACTTACATTTTATACCATTAAATATTTCATGAACTCACTTACATTTTATACCATTAAATATTTCATGAACTCACTTACATTTTATACCATTAAATATTTCATGAACTCACTTACATTTTATACCATTAAATATTTCATGAACTCACTTACATTTTATACCATTAAATATTTCATGAACTCACTAACTCACTTACATTTTATACCATTAAATATTTCATGAACTCACTTACATTTTATACCATTAAATATTTCATGAACTCACTTACATTTTATACCATTAAATATTTCATGAACTCACTTACATTTTATACCATTTAATATTTCATGAAGTCACTTACATTTTATACCATTAAATATTTCATGAACTCACTTACTCACTTACATTTTATACCATAAATATTTCATGAACTCACTTACTCACTTACATTTTATACCATTTAATATTTCATGAATTTACTTACATTTTATACCATTTAATATTTCATGAACTCACTCACATTTTATACCATTAAATATTTCATGAACTCACTTACATTTTATACCATTTAATATTTCATGAGTTTTGAAAGGCCCAGAAAATATTACAGCACCATGATATATTCCGCTATTGGAATTTTTAAAAACTGTTAATTTTTTATAGAAATGTATATTTAATCAAACCATTTCCTGATAATTTATGAATTTTGTTTCTGTCATTTCAGATATTGCTTTAGATTGGTCAGATCATGCATTATGGTGGCCAGAACGGAATATGTGGTTGTCACGGACACGATCCACTCTCGACCAATACAGTGTTCAGGCAGACGCCAAGTTACAGTTCACACCGATGCACAAAAATCTTCGGATACAGTTACCTGATTTACAAGTTTTAGATATGAGAGTTGATTTCTCTGCCAAAGTTTTCGCTTCTGTTGTTCATCTATGTAAAGAGCTGGGTAAGTTTAAATTGATGATTATAAATTTTCCATTTTTCAGCCCTTGTTTTCCGAGACTTGTAAGAAAAGAGTCTAGGCCATGTATCCTTGACACAATGCTAAGATCGTTTAGAGAATACGTGGCCTAATTCCTTATTTCTCAAAATGTTCTATGAACTCAAGTTTGATGCTTTCCATGTAAAATTTCGAACTTTTGTTCAAAGATGTTTGCTTTGATAGAGTATAGTATAAAAGCTTATTTGATTCCTTTCATGTCATGAACACTGATTAAAGTTTTCTTCATTAACTGCGAAGCCTAAATTGCTATCCTTATTGCTGTCATTATCATAAATTATCCTGTCAGCTTTCAGTGAATGAGTTTTTCATAAAGAAATGACAACTACATTTCTTTCAATATTTTTCACTTTGCTTTAAATTTTCACTGGGGAATATTATTAATTGAAGCAGACAGTATTTATTGCTAATTATAATCATGAATTCTTAAGAAACTGGGTATTCATTATGTGCATCAAGTAATTAACATGTGTATCAACAAGATATTTACTAATGAGTTGAGTAATTCTTGTTTATATTACACTGCACCTTAGTTAGTTCCTGATTAAATTACTGACAGATTTCTACAAATTATTTTAGTATTTAGTTTGTAAACAATTTACAGAAAAGGTTCAAGTGTAATTCTAAACTTTTATACTCAATTGAGATTGTTTCTTACACATCTCCATTGATTTTGTGTCCACTTATTTGAATTGAATTTAAAGAATTATCCTTATCATCATTATCATTTCATCAGTATAAAATTGAGAAAAGATCCTTTCAAATACTATAACTAAGGAAACATATAAATCACTCTTTAAAGTTTAACCTATTTGAGCCTGTGAAAGTAATTCAGACATCAATACAGATTATTATACATTATTATTAAATGATTTACTACCAAATAATCTAGTCTTTATTCTTCAATCAGTGAGAAAAAATATTGTAAGCTTTAGAAATCTCAAGTGTCTTCTGTCTTTGTAAAAAAAATTTCACTGTGAATATCTTTACATATTCATTCACATTGAATCTAACAGGATGAATATAATGTGGGCCGTATCTCAGAAAAATAATGGGATAATGATTTTCATGAGTGTACATATTATCTATATTATCTAAATACCTGTACTGGAACTGGCTTTCAGAGAGTCCACATAGCTCAGAATATTTTTGTCTGTACAACTCAGCATTCCTTTCAAAGAGGTCACCCATGTTTATTTAGTATTTAAGTTTGTCAACTATATGCATAACATTCAGAGAGTCTACGTAGCCTTTGTTGATTTTTTATACAAAAATCAATCATGATATAGCGGTTTTGCATCATGACCTCGTTTCTCAAAAATTATGGGATAAATTTTTATTTCCAATATTTTTTAAACAACAGACCCTACTGTATAACCTATTGATATTATTAGCCTAAATCACCTTAATATTTTTGTACCAAATAACACATGTTTTATATTGTACGCTTAGAAATATTTCTAACAATTGAAAACAAGACTTAAAAATTGATCAAGTGAAAAAGCAGGGGTTCAATGAAAATTTTGGCATGTTTCATCTTAATATACACCACTGTGGAAGGGTTTCTTGAATGGTTTAATAAGGAAATAATGAAACTGCATTTCATTTTATTAGACCTAAGAGATACTGAATAGAGTACAGCAATTAAACTGCAGTTTATTTCATTAATACATCAAGATACAGAAAGTAAAATATTCACTCCATTTCATTTCATTGGTAAAATATGATAAGGAAAAGTAGGAAGTAACACTCCAATTCATTTTATTAGCAAAAAATTATAAGGAAAGTAGGTTTTTAACTCTGTTTCATTTCATAAACAAAATATGATAAGGAAAGGATGTTAACTCCATTTTCATTAAAAAAAATTGATACTGTGCGATATAGAAATCTGATGGCCTACTGTTGAAATATAAAGGTATAAAGAATTATAGCTTAAATAACTAAGTAATTTAGGGTCATGTGTCATGTCATATGTCAATGAGGTTTTATAAAGAATGTAGGTCAAATAAGGTGAGACAATCAGAGACAACACCTGTCTGTAAAAATCATTAAATATGTCCCTATCAGTGATAAAAACTTTCAAGTCTTTGTGTTTATTATGACATTGGTTTCACAAGACAAAAAGAGAAAATTAGTAGATCACTCGTAACATATTATTGTGATGATTTATCAATTGTATTTGAGTCAGTCATTCGATTTTATCCCTTGATACAGCAGGCCTATGTTTCTTTCACAAATAACTAAATTTTGAGTAAAATTAATTTTAATAGATTGCTTATAGTTTCATTTCCGCTTTGGTACATGTTGACATTTGTCTCAGGTATCAAAAAGTAGGACTCTAAGCTTAAGTATATTAAAGAATGTTAACAAAATTGATAAAAATTTGCATTTTACATATAAATTGTAATTTTCCATTAAATGCTTAAAATTATGGAGAAATTTTATATTAAAATCTATATTTAATGTATGCAATTTTTTTTTGCACCTGTTGACGAGCTATTATGTCATTATGAAAATATCCATATATATATATTGGTGATATATTCACTATGATTGAGATATGGTGTTAAGAAATTATAACTAAATAGCCTTGTGGAAAGATTTTTACCTAGATATATCTAAAAAAAAGTGATATTAATGCATAAAACTTTTGCTTCAAGATATAATAATTCAAAATTTTAAGGTTTTCTTTTCAATATTTTGTTTTCATTACAAATTTTTGATAAATCCCTAGCTCATAGTGATAAAAGGAAGAATTCATTTAAACCCCATTTTTTGTCCAAATCGCCTTGGTGAGGTTTGTGTATCCAAAACACATTTTAGTACCTTGAGATAAGTTCTAGTAAAGTGCTCAAAAATGCAGATAGTAAGAAAATAAGAGTCTTGAGAAGTTCCAGGTTAAAGAGCATTGTATAATAGGCTGGTCAAGCTAAGGAGGAGTGTGGTTGTTTAGGTGAGAATGTTGCTCCAATGTCGTACAGTTTGATTGCAACCTCTCATAGAGCCTGAGCATGGTTATATAAAATATTTTAAAAGGTAAACAAAGTTGAAGTAGCTATTATCATAATGATATTTGGTCAAGTAAACAAGGATGACCTTCTGATTATCAATAGTTTGAAGGGTCAGGTGAGATGTCATTGATAGATAATATTAGAGTATACATATATAAAATAACATATATATGTAACATATATAGTTTAAAGGGATTGTAGAAAGGTTTTTTAAGAGGAATGATTAAGCTTCTAATACCCATCAGTCCATAGTGAATATATATGATAATTTTCATATACTTTAGTCTTTAATTTGCTAAGCTAGAACTAGTGTGGCTCAGTAAGCTATATGCTTTCTTGCTAACCAATGCAATGATCTTGAGCAATTGACAATTCTTAAAAAGTAAGGATAGCCTGGCTATTTAAAAGCAACAATCTTCTTCAATATAAACAACACCATGTCATAGTCTATAGATCTTTGAAATTAGGAATGCAACCCAACATTGCCAAATATTTGGGGCATACTGACTTCGTTTATCTAGACTTAATTATGTTAATTAGAAATAATTAGAGTGTCTGGCTCAGTAATTATTCAAATACCAGTTTCTATGCATGTGTTGTTAATATTTATCATACCAAGATGTTTGAATAATAGAAATAAGAATTAAAGCAGTCAACTAATAGAAATATCCACATGACAATATTACAATTATATACAAAATATGTATGATATTTATAATCAATATATATATGCTCATATTCATATCTGAATTCAATTTTTATTACATATATTTGAATATTAATTGTCTGTGCATATTCGTATTTGATTCAAATTTATTTTTACATTTAAATGAATACTTATTGTTAAGCTTATGAATCAATTCAACACATCAAACTAGTGGCAAAGCAAGGATTTCTGCGCTCCAACGTACTTTTGCAGACGGGGGTCAGGGATGCCTCCCTGAATAAGCCACTGAATCTAGACTACATTCTGGGAGAAATTCACAGCTCTTGAATGACAACTTTAGAGTGTACAGATAGATAAATCTGTAATATGTTGTGCTATGATTAGAGATATTATGATGATATAAAAACAGGATATAAACTTTAATTAATTACATCAACAACTACTCATTAGGATATTAAACTTAATGCGTAATGACCTTGTTTCCAAATTTACTGTGATATTATGGTTATATAAATAAACAGCATAATTAGAACATTGTGACATAATGTTAATAATTGAGTCTAATTAGGGCAAAAAACATATTTACAAATATCAAACTATTATCAATGACATTACCAAATATCACAGTTATAAAGTTCTAAATTAATTAATATTGAAACTTTGAAGACAAAGTATTGATTTTATCCAATTTCATATTGGACCCTGTATCATGATATATATTGTATATGGCAGATTGATGATATCCAGCTCACTAGTGTACTATGATATGGATAAGCTTACAGATTGTTGAACATACTTATGTCTACACAGTCAAATGATAAGATCAGTTAATCTGTATGAAATCTGACCAGAATTTAGAGTATTTGTAAAGAATTCTTATTTTCAGACTGGCTCACTTATGTCTTCTATTTCTACTCTTATCTGATTCAGTTTAACACAAAAAACATGTTATTTAACCCAGTTCTTACATAGAGATAGATAACTACCACGTTTCCAATAAACCTGGTTAAAGTGTAATCTATGGCTGAATACAGTGTCAGATGTACAAATTCTTGTCTGGTTATATTGTCCTTCAACCCAATTTCTGACCTAGAATAAGCCAATATTTCAAAAGAATATAAGAAACTATTCTGCAGGAAAAATATTCTGTCATGAGCAATCACACTTTATCACATGCACCTTCATAATGTCATGCTATTACAAACTTTATCTTATACCTTGACTACAATAGTCACTATTATAGTATCACAGAATGCAGCTGTATTAGATGGATACAAATACAGTCAATCAGAGCCTTTGACAGAAAGAGTGTAAACATTACGGCTTATTGTTTACAGTCTTTCTGTCAAGAGCTCTGATCAAGTGTATTAGCTATTACACAATCCAATCAAATAGCTACAGTTACACACTTCTGTGATACAAGAATAGTGGCTAATTGCAGTCAAGGTATAAGATGAAGTTTTTAATAGCTTGACATTGTGAAAATGTATCACCATAAAATAAATTCTGAACTAAATGGTAGTAGGCATTAACCTGTTTGAATAAGTCAAACTTAGGACTTGGTACGGTGCCAACACCAATACTTACTACTAATGTATACTAGCAACTTATTACCATAACTATAAGTATTCAGTCACTACACTGATGATTCATGAGTCTATATTGTATCCCACTACCGCCAGTGTTTGGCATGGTGCCGAAATTATTTTAACTTATTTACAATGATATATCACACTAATAGCAATATATTTTTGCTCATGTATTGATTGATGAGAACATAGTGTTCTTGGCATCATCAAACTTTAAGAATAGCAATTGTTCTGCAGTGAATCGTTCATGTTCGCACCTTTTTGACTTGATTTGGTGAATCATTGAACACATCATGCATGATGAAACTTTTCATCATCATCATCATCATCATCATCATCATCATCATCATCATCAGAGAAAAGGGTGAATAGTTTTTGACTAGAAAACCACTGTTGAATACTCTTTTCATAACAGAACTACTTCAGAAATGGCCATCTTTGCACCTTTGTGATGCCTACTGAAATATTCTGTACCTCTGGAAATATTTCTTAATTTTGACCATTTGGAAATATCTTCAGCTGTCTGTCAATGACATCATGCACAATTTCTGCATGGCAGCATATCAATAAAACTAAAATATTAAGACTGCTGTCATTTTCAGCAATTACATTTATTTTAAAATGCCAACAAAACAGAATATTGAATCCTTTAATTTGACAACTAATTTGCCACAGGCTTATAAATGATAAACCTTCATCATACTGTTTTAAGTTGGATATTCTCTGAAATGATTTTTTTGGGGGGAATTTGGTGTAAAATTGCTGTAAAATTGCGGCAAAGCAAATTTTATGAAAGCACAGGCACAAACATGTAGGCATAACCTTGGGGTTAAACTAAATTACATCACAATAATTTTTTTCTGAAACCTGAAAGAAAGTAAGCTAGTTTCATGATATGATGGGACTTATCTGTCTGCTGTTTCTGTAGTATGATCCAGTTTCATCATTTTTCACTTTGATCTTTTTCAGGTATCCGTCACCCAGAAGAAATGTCGTTCCTCAGAAAGATTGATAAAGATGATTTAAAGAGGGTAGTAAAGGAGGCCACCAAAAAGAAGAAAAAAGATCCTGAAGCTGCTGGAGCTTTAAGCTCTAATGGACAACACCATTCATCAACTGGTAGTTTGGATGGTTTGAGTCCTTTTCCTAGTAGGAGTCCAATGGGACCATCACCCTCGGTAAGCTTCAACAAATTTTGACTTGCAGTTTACAAGCTGATGAGGAAAAGTCAGAAACTGACTGTATATATTGCAAATGTAAAAAGTACTAATGACCTCCTTGATTGCACACTGCAATGCACCTTTTGTCTCTATCCTAAACATTTTATAATCAAAACTTTTCATATTTTCAGAGTACATTAGTTCGATCCTCTACTGGAAGTCCATATAATCTATCTGGAACTGGAACCATGTCACAGTTTAACTCTTTTAACGGCACAATTTCACCAGGCTCCATGCACAGTTTATCATTTGAAGGCATGATGGAATCCACTTTGGCTATAAGTCCACCGGTACCAAGCAAAGAAGCCTTCCAATATATTTATAGACCCAAAAATTTCATAGAAAAGGCCAGAATCAATTGTGTGTAAGTATGAACTTTGTTTTACTTTCAGAAACTTATGCTGTGCTCTGACAGTGCTTTCCAGAGTAAGATTTGAATCATCTTTCAACCTCTATCCTTGTGTAAACGCCAAACCTCCCATTAATGGTGGGTTGGAACACTGTCTCTTTGTGGCAGTGGATAGTGATTTTGATTGAAATCCTTCTCTGATGCCTGCTTCTGAGAGTCAGCTTTTCCCCCGTAATACCTATAAGTTAATTAGACCCTGCTGTAAAGAGTGACCTTTACATGAAATCTTGTTATTTTTCAGCTGGTTAGATTCTTCCAGATCATTAATGGAACAAGGTATCCGAGAAAACGACTTCATCATCTTCAAATATAAATTCTATAATTTCTATGATTTAAATCCCAAGGTAAGATAAAATTTAATTTGTTACTTTATTGATATATTAATATACTCATTCACTCATTTAAATCAACTCATGATTTACCAGTCATGTCTGACCAAGTGAAATCATAATATTTGTTTCTAAAATGCTAAATATATTTATCACATAACTAAAATCTCAGTCAGACAAACAATATTAATATATTTTACCTATTTTTTGTTTTTGGCAGTAATAACAAATTTCGTGCCAAGATTGTGAGGAAAACAGTGGCTTGAATTATGAGAAATATTCTTGTTACTACAGACATTAAAGTGACATACTCTCAGAAATACTTGCCAATTTTATGTCAGGTCTATATCTTACAGAAAATTAATATGAGATAAAATCCTGATTTAAAGAAATACAGTGAATCGATTGGTTGAAATTGATTTAAGTGATTAGCTAATCAGGTGATTCAAACACTGAAATTGCCTTAAATTAAGTTTTCATTAAACTAGTCCCTCACTTTTCTCAAAACTCATTGTAAAAGTTTTGCATATTCATGGTAATCCATTACAAGAAAATATCCCAGAAACAATGAAGCCCCGCTTATTACAGATTTTTGTATTTGTATAAATTTTATGATATGAAATTTTTAGAATGGTCAGGCTGTTGTGAAATATGAATATTTGATATGAAAGGAATCCAACTTAACTTGTTGTTTTAACATTTGCTGAATATTATGAGATAGAGTCTGTACAGGAAGACAGCACATTAGAACCAGAATAAAATCATACAAATTTGTAGTAGGGTTAAAACTTGGCATTTATACATCATTATGCAAGATCATGCTATCGGAAATTAGCAGTCCAGTTCCAATATTTACACTGCTGTTGGCAATTAATGATGTAATTTTAGACTTGGATCTACAGATAACCTTGCGTTCAACTTTTCTTATCTTTAGTCTAAGGTCTGGGTCAAACATTTCTCTCTAGGTTTCTTTTTAGTAAGTTTATATAGTACTTGAGGAAAGTAGTGTTCTTGCATGCTTTGTGTTTTCAGGAATTTTTTCTAAAAATTTTGTCATGGGTTCTAGGAACATTCCTGTCAATCTACCAGATTAACATACATAATTATTAAGCGGTCAGAATACAAGATTTAAACGTGACCACAAAAATGGCTGTTAGTTTCGATCCCCGTTATTTTGTATTTATGAATGTTTGTAGTAATTTAAACTGAATTCAGAGTTTTAATGACTTCTTGTTGTTCAGGTGCAAATAGTTCGATTCACTCTCTAATATGTTGGATTTAATTAGGGAGTGTCTAAGTGCATGAATTAATTACTAATTATAATTATCAATAGTAAGATTAATATTTACTTGTTAACGAGATTAGACTAGGTCTACCAGTCCTGTGATAATTCATCTTGAGATCAGCCTACACACATAGCAAATAGACTATGATTTTTTTACCCATAAACAAGGTTTTTTTGGCTCTATGATGGATTAGTAGAAAGAGAGATCCCCAAAAGTACTAGCCTTAGTATCAGAATTTGCCTGGTTAAATAGCAGTAAAGATTATGTTTTGCCATCTTTGAGGTTTGATCATGGGTCGTATGTAAATAGTCTTCAGAACTTCCAGAACTGCATTTTCGATTTTTCTATATGGTGGAGTCTCAAGAATAGATGAGGCATCAGTTTAACTGAAAACGTTGATAATATGGTCACAAATGGATATGAAGGCTCAAATTTCTACGATTGGTCCAAAGTATAGCGAATCTATCTCTTTAACAGATTCCCCTGAAACACTTGTCAGCGGTATGAAAAGAGCTCTTGTTAGATGAAGTTGAAAATGTTTATGACTGACTGAAAATAAATAAGTTGTTATTTTGGTGTAAGAAATAATTAGACCATGACTAAATATTTAACATATTTAATATTTATTAGGATTGTTCCTCTACTTAAATTACACTTCATTATTTATATAGCTATATTATATACTATACCATATATAGGCTTACTCAACTTACAAACACTACCTTAAAAACATATATCAGGTTTCTTACCATTTTTGATGTGCGAAAAACATGACTGAGTGAAAACTGCTATATTTTGAGTATTGACCAAAGAATGGGGAGGGGAGGTGGAGGGGTTATTTTTTGAAAACGAAATTTTCCATCTTAAAACCAGGCACTACTGATGACATACTGTGTCAAATATTTTAGTGATATATGATTGGAATTATGTTGTTTATTTTGACTGTAGAAATAACCTTACTGACCCAGATATAGATTGTTTGGTTTGGTGTAGTAACCATGGTAATGATTGGAATATTCCTGGAACAATGTTGTATCTTATTACCAGATTGTTATCTTAGAATTGTAAATAATCACTGATTGTAGCTAGAGTTATTGGCTAGAAATGTCTATAATTTACAATGATAACAACATACTTTCTAAGCTAAGCCTGTTTAATAAAAACAAGAATTATGAAAAAATCTTTCCTCCCAGTGTTCAAGAAATTATGAGTTTTGGAATTTTCTAACCTAAGTCTAATAAAAACAAGAATTATGACAAAATCCTTCCTCTTTGTGTTCAATAAAATATGAGTTTTGGAATTTTATATATCCATTTCAGTAAGAGGTACCGGTAGTAATTCTTGATTTCATCTGGTTATAGATCTAAAAACATTTCCATTTCTTACATTATTTGAAAAAAGAGAAAATGAATATTGAAACCCACTGCCACAGATCTTTCAAAGATTTCAAGTATAAAAATTTGGGGTACTGGATAAAAAATGAAAGAAATTCCTGTGGCAAATGGAGTTAATCATTCTTTGGATAATCAATAGCTCGTTTTCATTAGTTGTACCTTATGCCACTTTGCATCTTGGTTTATTAACTTATTTTTCAGTTAGAGCATCTAATTAATGATGATATTGTTTAATCCTGTAAAAGGATGAATTTGAGATTATCCATAGGATATGCATCGTTTCCAACTGATTCTTAGAGAACTCTCTTTCCATACTTCCATTTCAAATTTTTCATTCCAGTATGATGCTATTAGAATTAACCAAATCTATGAGCAAGCCAAATGGTCATTGATGGCAGAGGAAATTGATTGTACAGAGGAAGAAATGATGATGTTTGCTGCTTTACAGGTAAATTATATTTTTGGCTGAACATCTGTGGACAAAGATCTTCTCAAGAAAGGGTTGTCCAGTATAAATAAAGGCATTAAATTAACTGTCTGGGTGGATGTCAAAAATGTTTTCAATCATGTGTCAAGTCAGCAAGCTACATACAAATTTGCTCAGCAGAGAAAAGAAGGATGTAAAACTCCATTTCATTTCATTCACATTGACAAGAGACTACAAGATTATGTAGGTAGAGAAAGTTAGGGTGTAAAACTCCATTCCATTACACTACACCATAACAGACTAGATGCAGACAATAAATCAAGAGATGCACTGAGTGATATAGAATGTTTATGATATTAGATAATACAGATAATAGTTGGCTAGAATATTACTTATAGTCTCAGATATATACCATTAACGCTTATAATCTTAAATATTCCATTAACCCTCTACAACCAATGATATATTAGTGTTCTATATTATATATTGTTGCCACACTGTACTTGATGGTAGTTTTTCAGGATAACTTTAACCTTGCCATTTTCTGAATGCTTTGAGCAATGTTGGCACAACAAAATGAAATGTTTTACACCCTTATTTTCTGCTCTTAATTTTGGCTACAATCGTACAATGGACCATCTTCATTAGCTAAGCTAAGCTAAACCATGTTGAGCAGAAAAGTAGAAAGCAGAGCTGTTTATTTATCTGTATTTGTCAGTCATGTCTGATCAGACTCTGAAATGACTGACAACAATTTTGATCTTAATAGGCCATTTTCTATGCATATATATGTGTGTTGTGCATATTCACAATGAAAATGTCTTTATTTTATGTGTTATAAAGTTTGATTATGTACTTCTTATCTTATCAACAACCCGAGTAGAATGTCATGACAAAATTGTTTATTTAGCTAAACATTTAGGTAGGCTACATGTTATGAATATGTAATAAATATATTATATAAGTGATACATAGCTGACATGCTATGCACAGTTAATTATGAATTATAATGAAATTATTCACCAGGTGTATATCATAATTATAATTCTCTTCATACTGTGATACATATAATATACTAATAATATGAAGTCTGTTTTAGTTAATTTAGGTTATAACTGAAACTTTGATTCATACTTAGTTTGTTTGAAATATATTCCTTGGCTCAAAACGTTCTTTTTACTCAAACCTGCTTTATATGCTCAAAATTTGTTGCTACTCTCAACATTTATTCTCGATATTGAAGGTACCATGGCGTTTTTCCATTTATATTTTTATTACAAACCTCATCAAAATGATGTTAGCATTGAAGAAGATATGATTTATTACATTAAGGCCCTTTGTGATTAATGATGTCATTAAACACTTAGTTTTAGTGGAATTGCAGGAACTACAGACGTCTAATTGAAAATTGGTATGGTGCAATTGATGTCATCAGTATCCGTTTTACACATAAAAATATTAGAAATCCTTTTTATAATCCTTTTAAGACTTCATCATCACTTTTTGTCATCTTAAAACATTTCTAACAGCCCTCTAACATATTTACCTACTAGTATAAAATATATCATGATCAGTGATGTATAGAATATATATTTAAATGATAATTATAACATGATGGGGGTCATTATGACATAAATAAAGTTTATATATCAATAAATTACTGTGGTTATTGAGTTTAATGGACCATCACATTAATAGTTAATAATTGCTGGCTACTGTTACTTTTTATTTGTTTGGTGTTCTATATTTACACAACTGAACTGTAATTGTTAAATCAAAATTAAGCTCCACCTTTTTAGTAAATTAAAATATTATCTTCAAAAGAGCAATATCATGTAGTGTGCAATAAGAGAAATTTTGCCATCAGCCTACTCTTTTTTCGATATCCAACTGTTGACGGATCTTTACAGTACCCAGCCTGTAGCACACAGGGTCTTGGTTAATTGTCTCTTCTGAACAACACCATGCTTTTTCCATGTCAGCCCCTCTGACCTGTTCTCACTTCACTTAAAAATAATCAGTGAAATTTGATATATAAACAAAAATGTGCAGATGGTACATATCAGCTTTGTGTACATAATATGTAAAACAGTCCAAGATATTTACTGACGCTGAACTCCAACTTTTCTGCCTCTGCCAATGCTTCCTAATGTCAAATTTTTACTAGAATAAATAGAGAAAACAATTGAGTTGATTTAAGATAAATGAATAAGCATAATACATTGAAATGTTTTACAATTTATTCTATTCACACAACAGAATAGAGAGTAGATTATAATGAGAAATGTAATTTGCGTGTAAAAGTTGTGTACATAGTCTTTATTTATCTTCTGCCTCAACAAACATTTACAAACTTCTTTAAAATATTTACAAATAATTAAATATAATATGTTTTATTCACAAATTTAAATGCAAATACCAAGTAAACATCATCACCATGTGTGGACTCTCTGAAGGGATATTAAATTGACAAGTCTGAATACCAAATAAACATTATTAGCAATTTGCACTCTCTGAAAGGGATGTAGAGTTGACAAACCTGAATTTCAGTCAAACGCTATTAGTATTTGGACTGTCCTAAATGGGACAAACATTTTATTAATTGTGACATTGCCTGGAATCGTGTGGAAGTGTTTTGTCTTTGAAATAAAATCCCATCTTCTGAGAGTTGTCAAAGACTTCATATTTCTTAAATGTCTTTTGATGACTACATTTGAAAAAGGAAGTCTTCCTAATACTAAAACAAGTTTGGAATTCAAGACTGGAATTGAATCTAAAACTGACATGAAATATAAAAATGACCAAGTTTTTATGAAAAATTAAAACTTTAACTTTGCTTAATTTTGTATGTATAATAAGTTTTTTGGAAACATCATTTTTACACTGGCAATGTTTTCTAATAATAATAACTTTTTGAGCTATGGGAAAAATCAAATGAATGGTGTTTAATGTCCTAGTTTTCTGCTTCTATGAAGACAGGCAACAGCATGCAGTGTGCAATGAGGGGAATTTTGCCAGGACAGTAACATTAGCCTACTCTTTTTCAATATCCTACTTGAAGGATCTTGTGCACAGCCTGTATCTCACAGAACCTCGGGTTATTGCTCCATCTGAATGTCTATTAGGCAATGGATTGCCTGTACACAATATGTAACATTCAATAGATAGTATATAGGTTAATTGTAAGAAAATCTGTATTTAAGAATCGTGAGAATATCAGGGTTTCTCTGACCTTTCTATAAGTTGTACAGACATGTTGATTCAATATGAATAATGTTAACAATATAGATGATATGATCTTACATGATCTGTTAATATCACTTCAATATTCCCTTGGTTATTTATAGCTTCCCAAAACTCTGGTCAACAGATGATAGCAAAACTAAAATTCTGATTGATCTCCTTTGGCAAACAAAACTGAACCAAACAGTTCTGTATCAACCAAATTGAGTAAATGGGATATATTCCCTCAGTTATTCTTATCTTCTCAAAACTTACTTTGATATTACAGCAAAAACTGAACTAAATGTAGCTTTCCGTTATCTTTTCAACCTCTGCTTGGTCATCATATATGACATTAGTTTCAATTCAGCTAAGTTGAAAAAATATAGGATGAACCATGGTATATCAACCAGATTTTTTTTAACAGCAAAGGTTTTAATATAGTATGATCAATAGATGATGTGGTTTTAGAAAATTTGACCAATTTCAGGAGAGAAATATATTGCTTGAACCAAGATGGCATTCAACTATGTTGTAAAAAATGTTATCAATAAACACTTTCAAGTTCTGTTGCTCGGTATGATAAACCTGCTGGAACTTAATTGGTTCTTTATATAGGTCAAAATTATGCATGCGCATTTTCTCTACTTTCAGTTTCAAGTTCAGTTACAGTCAGGTCTTCCTCAGCCTGATTTAGATATGTCAAATAATTTAAACCATACAGAAGATGATGATATTGATGCTGCTTTAAAAGATCTACAAGAGTCACTGGAAGGCAATTCTATATCAAATTCAGGGGACATAACTCACATACCAGAATTAGGAGACTATGTGCGATTTTTCAAGTAAGTCAAATTTTTTGTCAAAAATCTGACCAGAATTGACTTAATGATTGTCAATCAGGTACTTTTGAAATATCATGTCAGATTGTTTAAGACAAATTTACCCAGCAAGATGAGTTCTAATAATTTTATTCAACGCTCATTCTACTTTGTTTTCATTTCTGACATTGTTTTGTATCTTTTCAGACCTAAGAAATTAACGTTAAAAAGTTACAAACGATATTGGGCAACATTTAAAGACAACCATATAGCTTTATACAGAAATCGAGAAGACACCCATTCTCAACCTCTCATGAGGTTTTGTGTTCGAGGTAAGTCAACAATTAAATAATTTTTATCCCAAAGCTGACATTTTCTAATGTTGAATTTTTCTTGTTGCATACTTTATGGTGTATTTATTATCACCTTAAGGAGCTAATAGCATATACAACTTTATATCATTCCTTTTGAATATTTGAAAATTCTCAAAAAATCAGTGGAATGGGACAATAGAAAAAAAACATAAAGTAACTTTGGAAAAAATAATAACAGACACCTTAGCTTCGGAAAAAAGGTGATAAAAATAATGATAAAAATTGTCACACCCATGTTTTGAAATGCGGCACTTAACATTTGAACTAGTATTTTTCTCTGATCTTTATGTTAATATGTTCGTACTTGAATGACATCTTAATACTGGTTTTGTTAGAATACCTCTTAAGTGGTAAAAAATCTGAAAGCTGGTTGTCCCTTGCACCTAAAGTTACCTTGCCTTGAAGGAGATTAAAACTCTCAGCACTAATTGCTGTCTAACATCAACAATGCTAATTGATTTATCATTAATGCCAATTTTTTTTTCTGGTAAAGCCAGAGTGATCACACCCAAATTTCCCAAATCTCATTGAAGTAGAGGAAATTCTAAAGTGTTAAGGTATTATACATAAGAATTTAAAATTCTTTTGAAAATAAAGTCTCACATCTTGCTCAAAGTCGAAAAAATATTCGAAGCCACAGCAAGTGCTTTCAAGAGCTAGGCCAATTTCAGCTTATATATTTGACCCATCAGTACTCTACTCTAATTTGTCAGAACTCTAAAGTAGGTATCAATGGTATCATGTATTACTCATGTTTATTATATAAGTATTGATGACTCATTCTATATTTAAAGTACCAGTATACCAATATACACACACAACTATATCCACTGGCGTTAACACCATTACATACATACCATCTTGTATTCACACCATCTGACTGGCTTTTGGCACCATATCAGCATATTATCTTTATCTCAATTGAAATTCTAGTGGTGAGATGTACATCTATTTTCAGTTATTTCATTCAACTCAGCTAAATTAGAAACAGTATATTTCAATGTCCTCCTGGGGTTGAAATATGCGAAAGATAAATAAAATTATTAGATATCAGTTCTGATGAAATAGCAGGAGCTACTTAATGAATGATATAATATTCTTATGAATGACTGCTTTTATTTCGAATTTCTTGTTTAGTCATGAAGTCTGCATTTTTCTGAGATTAATCGAATAATCTTCTCTATGAATGGACACATTTATTTTTTAATTTATAAATTATCAAGAATAACCTGACATTATAATTTGTTTGATCAATGGTATATCATGTATTTTAATATGTAATAAACATAGGGAGGGGAGGGGGGCTTGGTCCAAGGTTTTACCTGTGGTTAGGTTGAGATATACCTTCAGATTTTTCAATTTGGTTTTCCCTTGTAAGTGATGCAGGTGTAGGGACTGATGTGTAAAAAGCGTTTTGTTGATTTGACAATAAATGATGGCTAATCAGAAAAAAAGAAAGCAGGATGTAAAACTACAATAAAATTTTCATGCAATTAAACTTTGTTTGTTGAGATAGGGTGTTACTTGCATAGCCTGAAGCACATGGTGGTTTATAAGATTCCATTCAAATGATTTTATTTCCAAGACAAAAGAAGCTGTGATAGAAATAGGAAGTGAAACATGGGTGGGAGAGTCAAATCTTTATTTTGGTTGAAGTTCAAACCATTGAGTTATTTATTTTGTAATAAGAGTTAGGTGATCTTGAAGGGTGTGAGGGGAAATCACCCTGTAACATTTAAACTTTGACCTGCAAGTTGACGTCTGTGTTTATTTGTGATAAATTTCATTGTTTTGATACTCTAATCCTTGCAGTCAGTTTGTCCAACAAATGCTTTGTTGTATTTTGTTTATTGAACAAAAATGGTTTCTTTTAGTCAATCAGTACAGTAGTTAATTATAATAGTGAGAATATCATTGCTTGTCTTCACAAATGATAACATTCAATCTTCAAAAATTGAAGCAAGTTGTCTTACAATCAAGGTTCTGGGGTTTTGATTTGCTTTTTTGAACTTCGTAACCTCTCTGTCAGTGATGTGAAAGTTGAAAACGCATCCAATTGCTCAAGTTGAACAATATCTGTTCATGGTTTTCATTTCATTTGTCCAATTGAACTCAGAACAAAAGCTTTCTTTGTATATCATTACATAGAAAACAGAAGGACATTTCTTTTCATGTCATATCATAAAGTAGAAGAGTTTATAATTTGCCTGTAGGTTATTCTGTAATATAAAATTAATGATAAGAGATAAACTAGACTAAACATCGCTACAAATTGTACTATAAACAAAACGCCTTTCCTGGTTTTATATTCTGAATGAATCAAACTTTTCAAGTAGCAAAGTGACAAATCCGGGTGAAAATTAGGATACACCAGCTATATAGTGGATTAATGGACATCATACTAGTTTCAGTCAAATAACTCAATGTTTCACCTGCTCAAACAAGCAGTTAGATAAATTGTAACATATATATCCTTTTAAGCAATACTCAATTTTTATGTGTAGGCCTAATGCTTAAAGATTCCCTTTAAAAATAGAATCAATTCTTGTTTTCTCAGATTTACATCATTTCAAAATTTTTCTTGTCAGAATTTTTACCATACAATTGTCTCATCATAGTGATTCTTCTCAACCCCTCAAAACTACATCTACATTTTAATACCTTGATGCCTCAACAACTCACAAGTTTAGTCTCTCATGTGGTTAAAGGGAAACCACTCTTATTTAAATCACCAGATCACAATTAACTCTATTTATTTTCAGGCTGTGAAACCACACCAGACGTCAATCTAACTCATAGAAAATATGGTATTAAGATGTTTATACCTGATGCTGATGGAATGACAGAAATTATTATCAAATTTGATTCAGTAAGCCTTAATGTTTCATAAGAAATTCTAATCTAGGTTCTGAAGTTGTAACAAGTCTTATTCTACAGGAACCAATATATATGGCATCTCATGTTCAATACCTAAAAAAAGAAATCTACCTTTGTACGGTGGAGACTTCTGACCAAATTTTGAATAAAATTTTAAGAAATGTTAAAAAATTAGCCATATGAAATATAAAGTGGAATTTCAGTTGAACTTATACATTTTAAAAAATCAGTATTTTCTATGTAAGGATATAAAACTTCATTTGATAAATTTGTATTATAATTTATAATATATTAGGAAGAGCATGATGGCTAATGCAAGACAGTAGGATGTAAAACTCCATTTATTTATTTTTGTTGTATAATTGTAGGAAGAACAATATTGTCGATGGATGGCAGCCAGTAAACTGTCCAGTAAAGGTAAAACAATGGCTGACAGTAGTTATAGTGCTGAGGTTCAAGCCTTACAGACATTTCTCAGTATGCAGCACACAGCGCCGGCGCCAGCTATCACCACCTCTAATGTAGATATTCAAGCTGAGGACTTTGTAGCACCACGATTTTACAAAAAAATCAAATCAAAAGCGGTAAGTGGTTTATATTTTATTGGATTAATTTGATGTTGAGTTTTGAAACTGAAATTATTAGTTTTTAGCCCTGAATTGATTCTGTTCAGTGTCACTGTAACATGACTTAGCTCTCAAAGCTTATGTTTAATTATTTGTACTATATGTAAAACAAATTTTGTGTTTTATACTTAATTTAACATTATGGATTAATGGACAGGATTTATATTGAGAAGAAGATTAAGAATTAATATTTATTATATTAGGCCTACATTATATATTTTATTCAATATATTGTAGATTGTACAGAAGATAATGGAAGCCCACAATAATGTACGTGAGATGAGTTTAATGGATGCTAAGTTAGCGTTTATAAAAGCCTGGCAATCTCTACCAGAATATGGTATCACCTATTTCGTTGTCAAATTTATTAACAGTAAGAAAGAAGTAAGTAGAACTTTTTTTGATAATTTTTACACAAAAAGGGGTGCTTCATCAATGGACAAACTTATATTGAAGACCAGGGGCAGACTGAGGGGTCTGAAAAGCAGAGTTAAAACGTAGTTTAGGCACAGTTATCTGAAATTTGCCAAATGTAATGCGTAGCTACTCTATAGAACTAGTATAACTCATAATTTTTGATATAGATTATGATTAGTAGAATTTTTACACTATTTTGTTATATTTTCAGGAATTATTGGGTGTAGCTAGTAACAGAATAATTCGTATGGATTTAAATACTGGAGATTCGCACAAAACATGGCGTTACAACACCTTACAATCTTGGCACGTCAACTGGGAGGTAGAAAATATGATTCTAGAATTTGAAGAAGGTCGTGTAACATTTGCGTGTCTGGGCGCTCCATGTAAAGTTGTTCATGAATTTATTGGAGGATATATTTTCTTATCTATGAGATCACAGGACAAGAATCAATCTCTGAATGAGGAAATGTTCCATAAATTAACGGGAGGCTGGTCCTGAGGATTCGATTAACCAATCAGATACTTTGTTGCAAGATCAGTGCCTAATATGGAATATGTTGCCATAGTGACTGTCCGTCAAGACATTTTACTGCTGTTAAAGAGTAGACATTTTGTTTTTGTAAAATGTTGGTTTATTTAAAGTATCTATTACTGGTTTTTAATTTGGTTAAAAATTTCTTTGTTATTGCTGATTGCAAATGTTAATAGATCCTGTTACTTTATTTAAAAACTAAAAATCGGGAGAAAAATTGTAAAATAGAGTGTGGAGTAGAGTTAAGAATATTTCAACGGAATAATTTAGCGTCCAAGACTGGTTCAGTGTGGTAAAGTTACACACTGGAATACATAGCTAAATTATTGACAGAGTGGTAGTGCTTGGTAACAGAAGAGACAGAAGTGATGGTGTGTTAAAGCGTAGATCATCCAGTGGATAGTTTCAATAGATATTCAGCTTCAACATAACGTTTTTTTCTCGTTTAAACATTTAAAATTATATCTATCTATATATTTAATTATTAATTTTTATTGTTGCATGAAATAATTTTTGACATTCATTTTGTAACAAATCATTTCCGTAGCATTTTTGATGTAGAGAATTATTTTGAAAGCATTTAATCCAGACAAAATGACTAGTTGACAGAATCTACGACATCTATTTCAAGGCTGGAAAAAGTGTATCAGCCATCTATTTGACACTCTTCAAATTTAAGTGAAATCTTCCAAAGATGCTTATTTTCCATCAATTTGACAGAGGTATGTATAATTGGAAGTGCTCATTTGTAATATAAGGGGTGTTTTTTGCTATCAAATTTAATCCAGCCTTGCTATTAGCAGAGCTCTATTCAAGCTGTGATTGAGTTAAATCTATTTATTTGTGCCAAGATCAATTCAATCATTTTATGTCCTAGTTTATGTTATAGATCTAGAAATAAAAAAACTTGAAATAAATATTAACATTCGTTCAATTTCATTGATCTCAATTCAGTGATGTCATTCATTTCATCTTGTTCTTTTTATTACCTTTACACTTCCCTGCGTTCAGTTGTCTGCTTTTATGAAATGTTTTTTTTGAATAGTTTTGAATTGATTTCCAAAAACCTAATGATATGACACAACAAGGTTCAATTAGAAACTTTAGTTTACTGAACACAATGCTAGCCAACTGTTAATATTATTTAGATATGGTTTTCAATTTATTTTAATCAAACCTTTATTGACATATTACTGAAAATCTTTCCTGTTTAGGTCATGCAGCAGGTAAGATGTTGACGTTGAGGTTAGGCTATTTCATTAAACTAACTTGACTGATAGAGGGTTAACTATATTATAAAACATCTGTATTAATATGAACCAAATACTACCAAAGATTTTTCTATCTCTGTTTGCACACTAACAAAAAACTTGTAAATATACATAGAATGATATATGTTTACTCTTTTGGTACTTTCGGCTTTCTACTGTTTTATTTCATAGTCAAACAAAGATATCAGTGCACATCCGAGTATGATTCAAGACGGATCAGTCCATTTTATTTGAGGTAGTATGGTTATGATTACAACACAAATCTGGTCTGGTTTTAATAACATTTTACCTGCCTAAAAATAAAGTGCACTTTTTGTGTTTTGAATTGTACTTATGTGCTCAAATATCATTGATCAATTATAGTGCATTGTATTTGTATCTCATGATTTTTACCTTCTACAGTACTAATACCCAGATAAACAGCTTTTATGAGGTAACCTTATGTATTTTCAACGTATAACCTTGAACATTATTAAATAAAATTTTGTACTGTACTGAAATTATACAAGTTACTCATAAGAAATCTAGATATATATATATATATGACATACAGAAAGAGGCACAATTAAAGAAACACAAGATGAAGGGGTATACCATTTCTAATTCAGAAAATACAACATTGTGTTAATAAATTTAGAAATATTATGTCCACATATCTAGTGATTCTTTAAAGGTTTGTTATAAAAATTTACCAATAAATTAATGAAATAATGTATGATTATGTACTTATTGGAGATATTATGAAATATAAAATTTGATATTCTAGTTGCTGTTGAAGTGTTTAGAGATATTTAATTATTTGTTTTGTTCGCTAATTAATCAATTATAAATAATGTCTGACACCCTTCAAATCAAAATCAGTCATATGGGTCACATTCTATTACATGATGTCACATGTTTGTCGTCCAGTTTTATATACAAGTTTCAAAGTTACCACAGAGTTGAAATAGACAAAGCCATAAAACGCTACGTAAGATTACAACAGAGCAACATTTTTAGAAAGCAATTAATACTATCAAGGTTAGATAATTGTACACAGTACATTAGACAAAACTATAAAAATACTCTCTTGTTGTACACAGCTATTGATTTGGTACATTTAAATTTGAAGCTTGTTTAAAACAAGTCGTATATGACTGAATTTGTTTTGAAGAGCGAGACATATATTAATAATGTATGGTGCTGTATCTAATCTATTGTTAATATTATTATTATTATTATTATTATTCAGACAATGTACATAGATTATATATATAGTTTGTACAGTGTAGGTATTGAATCATGTACAGTTGTAGAGCATGTACAGTTTTAGGGGTTCTGAGCCTTTTTTCTCAAAATCTTGCTATCCAAATTTATGTTCATAGTGAAAATTTACATGTTAAGAGTTAGTTTTCAGATATATTTTGATTGTAAGGTGTTTTTGAGAAACAGTGGTTTGACACATGCATTGTTTTTTCTTTTACTTGGAAAGGAAATTATGTAATAGCATTTAAAATCAACATATGATTTGATTATGGAGCAGGTCAAGGAATATCAATCCTTTGATTTTAGGGAAATATACCAGTATTTATAAATTTTCTTAAAAATTATGGACTGAAATTGACAACAATCATGATTATGCGCAAACACTGAAATATTTATTGGCTTTAAAATAATACATAATTCTGATATCCACAATCATTGAGTTTACAATCTTGTTACTGTGTCAATACTAGTTAGTTATATTGTGTATATTAATATAATAAAAGTCATCTTATATATACCAGATCTTGAAATATTTACTGATTTTCTATAATTATTCAGATTTTTAAATGGTCTTACGTCAATATACACCCTCATTTTTAGAGTTAACTCTTCTAATATAAGCCTGTTAAATGGAAGTTGTGCATGTATGGAAGAGTTAACTAAAGAGCAAAGGGTGTTAAGTATATAACTGGCTTGAATTAATAACATTAAATACCCCCTTTTTTCCCAGTGAACTGTTAACGCACCCTTCTTAAAGAAAAACAAGTGTAGAAGAGTTCATTTAAAGATATAGGGGTATCAAGTCAATAAGTGGCTTACTATTTTTAACTGGTTTAAATTGTTATCCAATGAAATGTCTTTAGATATAATTAAATATATAATAACAAGTTTTAAGTGAAATATACCAGTTTTTTTTTGTAAAAAATATTCGTGTAATTTAAGCTACAATAAAAAATTTTATTTATGAATTTTATGATGAATTTTTGCAAGGTTAATATCTGTACAATCGTGTCCAAACCACGCCCCCATTCGTCATACTTTCCGTATTCGTGATACAATGATATCTGTCCTACATTCAGATGTCTGCTCTATGTCAAAAATATTTATGCACAATGACAACAAAACCTTGAATAGTTCATTGTAGCATAAGTCATAATGAACACAAAATAATAATATTTGATCAATCCCTGATGTGCAGAGATGCTTTTGATCACCAATACCTAGATTCTAATAAATATATAAAAAATATTGGCACGTAAAGGAAATTTTGGGCAATTAAATGGGACACAAACTGAAAAATAATTTTATTATTGGGTAAAATATTTCATAGTAAGCTATGGATTACATATACAATTTTATTTTATAAAATTAAAAGAGGTATAAGACAATATCCCTGTTTCCCTGTCCCAGATCTTTGGCTTCCATAAATCCACATTTTGACACCATGACCAGGATAATGGTACAAATAGAAGCATTGAGTGTACCTGATATAGTCTACAGAATTTAATTATTATTCAAAATATAAACACAAACAATCTATTTTATTCTAAGGTAGGATAAGTAATAAAAAACAATAAAGTGTGTTTATATCATAGGCTAATTACTTTTTGTTCTACCTCAAACAAAATAGACTGTTCTTGTTTAGTTGCTTAGAATTATTATATTCCTGATGACGGTGTGAGAACCACATTGAAATGATGTTCAAAAATATCTTAACTTTACATATACAAAAAGAAAATGTCTTTTTTATCTCATAACTCAGCACATTTATAAATCTAAAATTAAATTAGCACTTCATTTGCCATATACAAAAACAAAACAACCAAAGTATATGCAATAAAATCATATCAGAATAAAGAATATAATCTCAAAAAGTTAGACACTAATACTATTCATTCTACCTCAAACGTGAGTGCTTGAAACTATGTCTTGAATCTTCCTTGTATGTGTCTTTGCATGATTACATCATAGAAATAAATTGATAAAAAAAAAAATTATCAATCAACATCAGACAAAAGTATAGCTTGATTTGAGAAAATGTAGTATGTCCATTTTTATTGATGGAACATTGAAAGCGATTTTGTTGATGATCAAAGGTCCTACAGACTGTTATCACAAACAAACACTTACACTCAACACTCAACACTCAACCAGACATATCTAATAAATCAACATCAGTATCATGTATATTAAATTGATAATAGACACTGAAGAATCGACTACTTAATGCAAGGCTGGTTTGTCAAGCATTAACTTCACATCACTGGATAATTATGACAACCAATATTCAATTATTTAACTGAATGTTTTATCCATAATATCCAAAATTTCTTTTTGATGTAATTCTCCAATTCCAACAGCTGATGTACACAATACATCTCGACCAGCATAACGTAACTACAAAATAATCAAAATATTTCACTTGTGATAAAGGTCATAGTTAACACAAAATCAGACAACATCTGCCCCAAGAGCACTGAATATCAAAGCTGAAAATCGAACATGCAAGTTGAGAGCCCTTACTAGTTGAGAAACAACATCTTGAGATGAAGAGTGACAATCAGTTTCAACCAATAACTCCAATTACATAGACATATCAGATAATCATTACTAATGTCATTAGTCTAAACCATAAAGTTGTGCGTGTAGCCATTCTGAATAACCTTGACCTGATGAAATATCTGTCATGCTAAATTAGTTTACATTAAAGTGTAAATTTAGATCACATGTTTCGAGATCAGGGTTTAAAAAGGTTGCCCTACCTTACAGCCAACAACATTCTCAAACCTTGGTGCCACAAATGACCATGCTCCCATATTTCTATGTTCTTCTTGACTCCATACAAATTCTGAAAAAAGAGAATTTCAATGATTCTAGAGCAAGTTGAATTCAAAATCTTCATAGTGGTGGAGGAATTCACAATAGTTTTAATATCAGATTGAAAAAAAGGGGATAGCTACCTTTTGCTTTAGAATATTTTTTCAATTCATTTTGAATTTCTTCAACAGGAAAAGGACACAAACTCTGAAATAAAAACAGACATAATTAAAAGTTATCTTTTCAACAAACAAAGGCAGTGGGCAGTGGGACAGTACAGTAGGTAGTTAGTTGAACTTCTGCCAGCTATGATAGTTGCTGAGGTCAGTCAATACAGTGCACACGTGTTTGAATCTCCTTCATGGTAAGGAATGGCAATAACACATCAAAGATTACCCATTGTCAATTCTCCATCCCTGCCACCAGTCCAATCAAAATTAGACGAAACTTTCCATTTTTATTAGCTATTATTTTTAATATAGCCACTTCAGTTAGGGTCTAACGACTGCCCTCTTGAACGTTCATCAAATTAACCTATTGGCCTCACTCGATGTGTTCTTTACCCAATAAAATTTCTACCTTCTCCAGCATTGGCATGACCTATACATGTACTCAGAAAAAAACTTACCTCCAATCTGATAAAAACTGTATTCTTGATTACACGACTTTCTCGTTCTTTGACAAGATTATAATAATGTTTACCACTACAAAATACCACTTTATCTACAGTGCCTGGATCCACTGTGGCCTCATCTAGCACTGGATGGAATTCAGTACCTGAAGCCATTTCATTCAAACTTGAGGAAGCTGCTGGTAAGCGTAAAATAACTTTTGGTGCTGCTATAATCAATGGCTTTCTGTAGTTTCTAACCATCTAAAATTCATCCAAGACAACACATTATTAAACTGAAATTGGGATAGTGATTATGAAGAAATTTTACCAGATGAGCAATATGGTCTAATCATGACCATACTCTTGAACAACCAGTGAAAAGACCAGCTTACCTGTCTTCGTAGTAGATGAAAATATTGGGCTGGGGTAGTGGGAAAGACAACTTGAATATTGACATCATCTCCATCAACTGCATTTTCTTTACTGTCTGTTAGCTGCAATCAAGTTTGAATAATCAGGAAAATTAGTTGAGTAAGAACTCCATCTAGTGTCATTATTTGATAGCCACCATATCAAAACAATTAATAAGAGACTTTGACATATCCTACATAAGATAGCAGTATTCAATTCTACAGCTAGAATATACTATTTTCGAAAAATAAGAAGTTATGTTTACACCCCCAAAAGACAGAAAAGAGATACAGTCATCAAAAAGTTTACCAATCATTCCGGTCTAAAGCTAAAACTCAAAATTGGAATTATAGTATCATAGTTTCCAGAAGGAAAGAACTTATAGGGATACAGTAATCTAAACAACTTAGTCTCCCTGTAAAAAGTGTTCCAGTCTACAACTAGAATGTGCAAACTGTCATTAGAATTAATCAAAAGTACAGCGATATAATTCCAAGATGGCAAGGGATACAGTCGTATTTACCTGTAGAAAGCGTTCCAACCTACAGCTAGAATGTTCTGGACCAGCCCCATCCATACCATGTGGTAATAACATTACTAGCCCACTCTGTAACAACCATTTAGCTACAATACAAACAGGTATGAAAGAAATTATGTCGGAAACATGGAACTAAAAAAGTTATTTTACAAGATGCGAAATAATGCTGATGCATATTCAAACTACCAATAATTAAAACCTCATTTCATGTTCTTAAACTTCGTTTATCAGTTTATAAACTGTGTTTATTAAAATCCAGTTGTTTTATAAAATATCACTCTATATTTGGATCCAAACTTACTTTCACCAGAAGTTATATAAGTATCTATAATAGGCTGAGCACCATTAAAAAAATCACCAAACTGGGCTTCCCATATCAATAAATTATTAGGACTCTCTAAACTCATTCCATACTCAAAACCTAGAACAGCTTCTTCTGACAGCGCACTGTTAGCTACCTATAGTACAGATGAAATGGAGTTTTACATCCTGATGTTTATATCCTGATTTGACTAATTACAAAGAGCTAAGGGACCTACTTTTCTATACCATGAAATGCTAGCCAGTCTACTATAAGGTAAAGTATCATGTAGTAGAGAAAACCATCACTTTGAAGAAAGCATACCATGCCTTGGTAGAACAAAAGAAGACCTACCTCAAAGAAAGCTGTCTGATTATCAGTAATATGATTTAAAGGTATAACCATATCATCATTACCCTGGTCTATAATCATAGCATGTCTGTGACTAAATGTACCACGTCCCACATCTTGACCACACAGACGTACATTATAACCTACAAATAAACATTATATACAAATAAACATCATAACCTACAAATAAACATTATAACCCACAAATAAACATTATAACCCACAAATAAACATTATAACCTACAAATAAACATTGTAACCTTCAAATAAACATTACAAGTTATACAACCTACAAATTAACATTGTTACCTACAAATAAACGTTGTAACCTTCAAATAAACATTATAACCTACAAATGAACATTATAACCTACAAATAAACATTGTACAACCTACAAATAAACATTATAACCCACAAATAAACATTATAACCTACAAATAAACATTATAACCTACAAATAAACATTATAACCCACAAATAAACATTATAACCTACAAATAAACATTGTAACCTTCAAATAAACATTACAAGTTATACAACCTACAAATTAACATTGTTACCTACAAATAAACGTTGTAAACTTCAAATAAACATTATAACCTAAAAATGAACATTATAACCTACAAATAAACATTGTACAACCTACAAATAAACATTATATACAAATAAACATTATAACCCACAAATAAACATTATATACAAATAAACATTATAACCTACAAATAAACATTATAACCTACAAATAAACATTATAACCCACAAACATTATAACCCACACATAAACATTATAACCCACAAATAAACATTATAACCCACAAATAAACATTATAACCTACAAATAAACATTATAACCCACAAATAAACATTATAACCCACAAATAAACATTATAACCCACAAGCAAACATTATATACAAATAAACATTATAACCTACAAATAAACATTATAACCCACAAATAAACATTATAACCCACACAAATAAACATTATAACCTACAAATAAACATTATAACCTTCAAATAAACATTATAACCTACAAATAAACATTATAACCCACAAATAAACATTATAACCTTCAAATAAACATTGTAACCTTCAAATAAACATTGTAACCTACAAATAAACATTATAACCTACAAATAAACATTATAACCTTCAAATAAACATTGTAACCTTCAAATAAACATTACAAGTTATACAACCTACAAATAAACATTATAACCTACAAATAAACATTATAACCTAAAAATAAACATTGTAACCTTCAAATAAACATTCTAACCTACAAATAAACATAAATAAACATTATAACCTACAAATAACCAGTTCACAGATTAACCATCTTAACGATAGCCTGTTTGGTTTTGGACTAGTTAATACATAGAAGATTAAAGTTGTCATTATTGTCAAATATGGTTGGGATTTATATGAAAGGTATATAGTCAGTCGTCACTTCAAAGCCTTCAAATCATTGTTATTATCTTCTTGTGGGAACCTTGATAACGCCCGGAAATGACAAAATCTAAATAGGCGTGATTAGTTTTTGTTAATCGCAGAGGAACCTGGTGTCAGTCTAATTCAGCAAGTGTCATAGAAAGATGAAAATGTCTATCCAGTTGTAGCAACTATATTCAGTAACTACATACTTATATTGATTATCATAAGCATTACCTTGGTATAACAGAGATCCTATGGCTAATGATTCAGCTGTAGCCCAATCTAACTCTCTTCCGTCCACTAGTTTCTGTTTTCTACGTTCAATATGGAATTTTTTAATGGTAGAATGGCTTTTCTAAAAATAAAACAACTCATAAAAGTAATCACCTACTGCAGAGTTCAAAGCTCATGTAATTCAAACTTAACCAAGATACTAACAATAGTTATCTCATTGGTTAATACAACTAAATTCAAAATCAATTTCAGTGACTGGCCAATCAAATCATCTTAATTGAATTTTTTCTGAAACATGCCCTAGTTGCACAGAAGTTTCCAACCAATGATACAAGCTAAATAAGAGTAGTGACATAGCCTCTTAAATAAGTTTTTAAATAGCAAGTTACCCAATTTTCAGGAATTTCTACAGATTTGGCACCAATAAATTTCAATGTTTCCATGGCAACACCAGTATCCCATCTAGTAATATTATCTCCAGCCTGTTTCATTCCACTCCAATCTTCTAGTAGATGGTATGGCTGTAAAATACAGGGGCAATTTGAATTTATTTCTATAGAAACTCACTGAAATATAATTAATATTTTAATATAAAGCAGCTTCAACCATCTGTATTACTTGTCAAAATGAAAACTCTAATTCCTATTTCATAAATATAAATACCAAGATTAGTGCTTGAAAAAAACTACTCCAATCCTGCAATACCAAGACTAGTGCTTGAAAAAAACTACTCCAATCCTGCAATTACTAACATGCTAACCTTGATAACACAGGAGTCAAATTGAGTCATATCTGACTCAATAACTAGATATACTTACTTTAATAACATAAGAGTCAACTTGAGTCATATCTGACTCAATAACTAGATATACTTACTTTAATAACATAAGAGTCAACTTGAGTCATATCTGACTCAATAACTAGATATACTTACTTTAATGACATAAGAGTCAACTTGAGTCATATCTGACTGTAATTTATTATTCCATTGTTTTACTGACTCTTCTAAATCTGTTTTATTACAGATACCATCATTCTATAATAAATTAAGACAAACTAACAATTATTTTTCATAATGTAATTTTAGCAGACATGATACTATACATTAACAATAATCATTTATAATTAACTTTCTAGATTTTTTTAACCTTTAACCGGCACATTGTTTTATCATGTGTGACCTAGATCAGTGTTTTATGAGACATCTATTATCAAATTAATGTTTTATTTTGAGAAAGGCATGCATAATGTATTTACAGAATAACAAGTACTTGAATGGATAATGACATTAATTTTAAAATCAATTTTAGTGATTAACCAATCAGATGACTGGAACACTCCAATTATCTCAGCCCTGGAATAGATTGGTGTAATCTAGTGCTAATCTAATATTGTACCTACCAGTAATTTATGAGAATATTTATCAGGAATACTCTGTCTTGATGTTATAGCTTGATACATCAATGGATTGGTGAAGGAGGGATCATCTAGTTCATTATGGCCGTGTTTACGATAACAAATATAATCTATTATCACATCTTTATTAAATTTATTACGATATTTCATAGCTAAACATGTCGCTTGAATCACATCCTACAAATAAAACGGATAAATATTATACTGATGGTAATGGGCATATTCATTCTATAAAGACATTGGAATAATCAATCTTAATTTGCGTCCATTTTGTCTTTTAATTCAGAGTGTTTTGACAGTTATTACAAATTGAAGTTGAATTGAAGTGTGTTAAATTACCTCTGGGTTGTCACCATTAACATGTATGACAGGATAAGAATTTATTTTACCAAGATCACTGCTATATCGAGAGGACCTACAATATACATTAATACATAAATAAAATAAGACAAGATTGTGCAAAGGATATATGGAAACAGACACTTTATGCTCCACTAATATAAAAAGATGGTAGCCAAGGAGTAGATAATGGCATAGAAAAGTTTAAAACTAATGAAAACTGCTGATTTTTATCAACATTCACACTGTAAATACTACCCTACCTACCTGCCTAGTCTAGGTTCTGTAGTAAAACCAATTTGATTATTAACTATAAGATGTATTGAACCACCCACTGTAAAATGGGCACAGTCAGCTATCACCATTGTCTCTGAGACAATACCCTAAAATAATCAATTATCTTTTATAATTAAATAGAACACAGCTTAGCTAGTTTTTGTAACTTAGGTTCAACATACTCATAATAGACTTTGAGCAATTAAACAAAAAAAGCGAAAATGAAATCTTTACCTGAGCACTAAAGGCAGCATCCCCATGGACTTGTAAACAGAGTACATCTTGACTAGAACTAGTACCATCATTAGTAGAATATTCTCCTGTTTTGTATCGCTGTTGTTTACCACGAGTTTTACCAACGGCTACTGGGTCATTTGCCTACAAATATCATCATTTACTTAAAACGTAAAACAACTAAATCCAAATTATTGAACTTAGTAATAATGTTCTAATAAACCTCACCATGTTAGAAAAGTAGACAACAAATGAAAAATAATAATTTTAAAGACCATTAAAACAACAGAATAAAACATCCACTGCCTTGCCAATGTCAAATTATCTTACTTATACACATTAATACTTTAAATAGAAATATTAAAACAGAACCAATTAAAATCTCTACAATTGATATATTTTACATGACACTATTTTAACAGTGAAAATATTTTGTTATTGTTATTTAAATAAATTATTATCAGTTGATTAATTTTCATCTAAAACACCCCATCCTCTCTTGGAAATATTGCAGCCTTTGTTTTGACATAAATACAATACCCATAAAAAAATAAAACAAATCTCACCTCTAAATGTGAAGGGTTGGGTAGAAATGAGACATGGATATTTTTACCTCCATAATCTAAATCAACTGAGGTGTCTACAAATAGATAATAATTTTGATATTTTCTTGTTTTTCAGTATGCATTTGTCTACTTGGTTCACGAGTTCACATAACTAAATTTTGATAGGAAACATGTAAAAACTTACATAAATGAGATAACACATCTCCTGTCCCTTTAACATTGGGTGGAAATTCACTTTTACCCTTCATCTACAATATATAGAACATTTATTAATGACCCTGAACATGCATCTTTAAGCAAACTATCTGAACTGGACTTGAATCATAAAGAAGAATAACATTTGGTTATTTGTGCCATGAAATGTTTTGTCTTAACATATTTAACTATGAATATGACAGAACAAATATGTCATGCTCCACACCTCTTGGCAATGATCTTATAAAGATAACGATTTAGGTTCTTGATGATTCTATCTACTTGCTGGTCCTTGACTAAACCTCTCGTCAATGATTCAAGGATCACAACTTAGGTTCTTGAGGATCCTGTCAACCAGCTGTTCTTTTGCTAGAGTTGCAATCAAGATTATGTATATAATCAATATCAAGTTTTGTAATTATAAAAAAAACTGACCTTTTGAAACATAATTACTGGAGGGAAATTTAACATACATGATAAAAAATTTAAACGACCTCTATGTGGCATACACATCACTACGTGCGATATATTATCTGAAATATTTGATGAAACAATGGAGACATCAGCGTTTATCAAAGAAACTAGGTAAGAAGTAATGCAGTTCTTTCAGGCAACAATCGGTAATATTTGAGACCAAAATATTGAAATAGTAAATAAAGGGGCAAGGTTGAATTCTTTTTTAATAATGTTTGTTTTAAAACCTTTCTACTATCCTGTACTTGGCAAAAAAAAGAATATCTACAAAGATAAAAAGAAGAATGCTGGAATACTGTCTACCAGCTGATCCATGGCCAAATCTCTTGACAATCATTTATTCATTTCATATTTTCTAGAATCATGAGAAATGATAAAGATAACAAGTATTTAAGTTGTTAATGTCAATATGCAGATTTCCTCAGTAAAAGGTAGCTATTGATTCAAATCATAACTTACGTCCAGCACATTCTGAGAAAATTTCATCAAAGGCAGCCAACATGCTTTCTCCACCTTCTCCACCATATCTTTTTACAGTGGTAAATTTACTGCCTAAAAACTCATCAAATGCCTGTAGATAGTAGAATTTACAGCTTCATTTTGAAATAAATAAGTTATCTTTCCAAATATAAATTGACTAACAACTAGTAACCTCCTTTCTAGCATATCTTAATTTTTAATACAAATATTAGCTCACAATATCACAGTTTGATCTGATCTTTAATAATACATTTTGTGTCAACACTCTGGGTTGCAATCCTCACAAATGAAAGATTTAACTTAAGCATCAGTTCCAGTTCTCCACAGAAACTAATAAATATGAAGTCTAAAACATTTTGAGTCAAACAGAAAAACATGCATTCTTACCTGAGATTTGAGTAAAAGTTTGGCTATTTTAATTTTCCTCTCATCTGTTATAGAAGTCTGTTTCTTCTGCTCAAAATTTTCAGCAAACCATTCTCTTTCTTCTTCTGTCTACCAATAGATAAAATAATAAAATCACTCAAAATTTGACAAAAGTGTACTTATATTGTTATCAATATCAATTTTCCTTTTTTATTTAATCTGACGAGCCAACCATGTAATTTTCATCTTTATTCTTGATAAATGTCTCATAGTTTTCAATGAGTAAATTTTACTATGAAACTGCAGCCAACTGTCAAGGGATCCTTAACATCCACAAACTTTAACCATTCAAACAACTGTATGACAGACAACCTCTCAGAGATGCATCATTTTCAGACATAATCAGGTTGAAAAATACAAAAGAGTTATCTCCACCTATGTAAGATTCAAACCCTGGACTTCTACGTAAGTAGGAAAGCTTCCTAACCCTCAAATATTCAAGAAGTACAAGAACCTACCTGTAAATAGTCAAATTCTGCCGTTATTCCTTGACAATATTCATCTTGTAGCAACTGTACAATATCGCTAATGCTGCATTCTAGTCGGTCAGAATATAAAATACCTTCGGTACTAATTTTATCATTCAAATGTCTGGATAAACCATATCTATCTACAGATAACTCTACAGGCTCTCTTAAATTGGAAATAATTTCCATTTCTAAAGAATGAACCTATATGATTGGTTTCAGATATTCAAAGAATGGAGCTCAAAGTTTAAATAAGAGTGATCATTGTTGTTGATTTTGTTTATATTGTTAAGTCATACTTTATACAATATCAAATATTCTAGGATTTTTTGAAGAATTCTTTGCAGAGGTTGGTAAGTAAAGGGGCAGTAAATTTTGAATTCTCAAATCTGTTGAAAGAAAGTTTCTTAATCTTCACATATAAAGAGGAAAGGTGCTGTAGAAGATACAATATTCTTGAAGGCAACCATACAGATACTTACTTTCTGTGCTGCAATCCAAGAGGATCTAAATCAGCTTTCAGGTGACCATATTTTCTATAGGCTTGTACCAATTGATAGACATTTGGGTTCTTAATTCTGTTCTCTAGAGCTTTCTCTGACAAATCTAGAATAAATTGATAACCATTTTCATATGTCGTGGTGACTAATATTTTATTTGGTGACTGATTTGTATTAGATTTGGGTTATCACTTTTAAAGAATGCATTTCTTATCAATTCTTCTGATAGGTTACGTTTTTTTTTAACTAGAAGAGCTATTTAAAATCTGAGAAATGATTTGATTGTCGAACCCTTAAAAATTCAGCATTTAACAGCTGGGCCCATTAACAATGCGTCAATGGGCCCTTCTACAAACTGATGCAGATTTCAAACACAAAATATAACTATCAGAAATGTTTTAAACATTCATAAGTTTTTTAGCCATTTTCTAAAAGGGAATTATAGAGTTAAAATCAATTAGAAAGGCTTAAATGAAAATGAAAACAAAAGTTTCTGAGCAAGGTCACACTAACCCAATTTTAGATCACCTAAAAATTGTCCACTTACGCCATTTTTCAGAAGATTCTAGCTCTTGGGACCTAAACCCGTATACCCCGGATTTGGAGTGATAAAATGCACTGCATCTGATCCCATGACAATATGGAAATCTCAGGGAATAAGAAAAAATTCTAATCATTCTGATTATTGAGATCTGTAAGCTGCCAGCTGCCATCTTGTGAGGGGAGATAACTCTATTTCAAAAATTGAACTAAGACCACAAATAATTCATCTCGACCATAGTACACTATCACCATTTTCTGAAGATAGACAACAAAATAAAAAAAACCAAATCAAAAAAAAAACAACGTAATGTGTTCAGGAAATCTTGTTCAAATCATCTCTGATTCTTTACATAGTTCACTGCCCTGATTTTGTAGACCCTCATCTTCAAAACTTTCACAGGCTTTGTCCATCAATCGAAAACAAACAGATAAATATAAAAATCTAATATCCTTTATTTATTGTCATACATCAATATACAAGAATCTATGAAATACTGCTTTTATACCAAACAATATAATATTTACAATAACATACACTAGCCTTAAAGCAGTGCTGTGCCCAGTGTAGAAATAACAATATAGTAGAAAACAGAAGCAAATTACTTTCAGACCTGTACGCCTATTAGTTTTTGCTGTTTTCAACTGTATAGATTACCCAACACAATAAATCACAATGGATACTGTAGGCCTACCTTGTAAATTCACATTTTTACACATTGTACAAATTTGGAAGAAGACTATAAATGTATAAACTATAAAAAGAAATATGGCAGTTGCAATTATTCTAATTGATTTTCATTAACAAGTAATAACATAACAAAAACAAGAGTAAAGAGGAAGTAGTACAAAGATATTTATGCACATTTGGGACATTTCAACACAAGCAGTGAAGTCTGCTCGAAAAAATTTAACATTTCAAAACAAATAAAAAAATACAATTTGAAAGTAAATAAATACAAACTCTACCCTTCCTTAATACTTGAGTGTAAAAAGTTTATAAATGAAACAATTCGATTGGATTACAGTCAATCAAAGCTGTAATGTTTACATTCTTTATGTCAAGGGCTCAGATTGACTGTATTCGCATCAAATCGCTCCATTTCTTGATACAAGTATAGTTGCTATTGCAGTCAAGTATGAAGTAATAGCTAGACATTGTCAAGATGGTGTATCATATAATATATAAAATTCTAAAAACAGGATAACAAGTTCTGACATTCTGTTCTTATTGCAATTGACTCTATATCACAGTATTGAAACCTATCCTAAATTGTTAAATTATGTCATATATTCATACTATTATAATATTAGAATGAGTGAGAGGTACGTCTGTGATAAAAGTATTTCTAGAAGAAATTGTCTTTTACATAATATTCAATACACCTACTTATAGAACTAGATTTCTCTTTTTACATGAAAACTGAAGACAAACTGTTATTATAAGAAGCCAGCAATAGCAACCCTGTATGTTATAAATAAACTTCTCAACACATGACAACAAATATCATAATCTATTGAAACATTTTAAAATGATTTTACGTTCTAAAGATGTCAATCATATTATACACGACAACAAAGATAATACTATTAAGATCAAAGATAAATTATGAATGTAAAATAGAAGAAAAATCAAACACAATATCCCGTGCCAAATACTAGACAATTGATTTTAGTATATTTTCTATTGCCATACAACAATAAAACTCTTGGACAAGGGGCAAACCTTTTAGCTTGGCCCCTATGACACTTCTAGCAGCAATCTGACATGACTGGCTAACCAACAATATTAAATAATATTAATTTTTTTGAATGATTTCAAAACAGATATGAAGAACTAACTATAATATTCAAGCCTCAATATGAGAGTGACATTAATAGTTCTAATCAGACATGACTGGCAAGTCCTATCAAATCAACAATCTTACTTTGCAACCTGGAGCTCATTGCATTAGCTAAAACATCTTCACGACAAGTTATAAAATCATTGCTCCAGTCAGACACGATTGGTAACTCATTCTCACACCATTATCTAAATTTTGAAGGGAAAGTCCAAGAAAGAATCAAAGCCATTTAAATCACTCAATATCCAATAAAAGATCACTTCCTTCTAATTTCATTCCCTTTTCAATACTCATAGATTTCACTGTTCCATCCATTGGAGCGTTGACCACCATTTCCATCTTCATAGCACTGAGAACAACAATCGGCTGTCCTTGAACCACTTTATCTCCTACAGAAACCTTAATATCAATAATTTCACCAGGCATTGGAGCTCCTACTGATCCTTTCACACCTTTAGAAGCTTTAGGATGGAAATGCATCTCCTGGAATTAAGAAAGGAGATTAATTTTTGAACAAGAACAAGAAACTAGCTGATTGGGCTATCTTGGCCAATGCATGCATTATCATTGTGTTAGAACTTATTGAATTCGGCCCTCTGCTGCTGTTCATGGAATCCCGGAGGGCAAGGCCCCATCTCACAAAAAATCTTAAGATAAGAATTTGTGTAGAGTGTAGAATTTTTGCATTGTGAAATACCATACTTTCAACAATATTGTAATACAGTAAGATTTTTTGTGGAACTGTGCCCAAGCCCTCCACCTTCAAAGCTGACTTGTACACCACAAAGTACCCTGGTTAGTGAGCAACTTTCACTGTGAAGCTGATTTTAAGATGGGCATAGAGAGTAGCCTACCCTAGTATCAAACTCAATTCACCTACCTTCATAGCCTCTGTATCTTTAATATGAACTGATCGTAATTGTCCATTTAACTCAAAGAATACTTCTCTTGAACCAGCTTTATTAATATCACCCACAGCCAGTGTTTTTATGGATAATGTTTTACCTCTTTCTATCTCAACCTGAAAATACACAAGAGATCAGCCCTGGAATCATTTTAAGGGACAGGTTTGCCATCAGTAAAAACATCTCATCATCCAAATTTGAGCCTTTAAATCCATGCTGTCCAGAATTATCCAAGTGACAAGTCATCTTTTCTTGAGACTCTTTAAATTTAAAGTGGAATTCCAAGTTTGATGTATTTTTGAAGGATTAGTACTTTTGAAGACTATTTACATATATTCAAGACCCAAATCAACCCCCAGAAATGGCTAACTTGGCCCTTTAACAATTCAACGATCGTGCAATATCAAATAATTTCTGAATACAAAAAAAAATCTTGATCTAGTTGATGCTCCCAATAAATGTTAGACATTCATATTTAAAATCTTGATTACCTACCTCAGTTTCAGTTGCTACTTTAGGACCAACTAAAAACATCCTGGTATCTAGGCAGTCAACAGGGCCATATTTATCTGTGAATTCTAGATATTCATCTGTAACTGATGGATACAAGGCAGCACTCATTACATCTTCTTCTTTAATAGTTTTCCCATGTTTCTCTTCTAAATCTGTCTTTAATTTACCAAAATCTAGCGGTGGCAGAGTGGCACCAGGTCGCTCATCGAATGTTTTAGCACCTCGTAAAATCTAAAATTGAAATATCAACAAATTATACAAAAATCAGATAGAAATTTCTTTTGTTACATAGTTACTTCAATTCTAAATGGTGACATTTTGAAAAACACAAAAACAAAGCTTTACCTTAGATCTAAGAGGCTCAGGGTAACCCCCAGGTGGTGCTCCAAGGTAACCTTGGAAATATTCAATGACAGATTTAGGGAAAGACAACTCTTCAGCTCTGTCTTCCACCATTTTAGCTGTTAGTTTATTCTGGACCATAAACTGGGCCATATCTCCTACAACTTTAGATGAAGGAGTAACCTGAAAATATTACAGATTTTTAATTTAAAATGTTTTACCAATTTGACTCAATCAGACTTTTGTTTTAGCAAGTTAACACATTATGATCTACGACATAACATGAGTTTTTGTACTTTAGATTTGGGCTCAGAATCCTTGTACTGCAGAATACTCTCAATGTTGACTTCTCGCCCCTGTTCAGCAAGTGAACTATAGAATGACCGGCAGTCAAATGTTATTACCTTGGGAATATCACCTAGCAACCTATTGGCTACAGAATACATTTTCTTTACTTCTTCAAACTGATCAGCTAGACCCAGACTAAATGCTTGGAACTGAAGATTTGTGTATTGTCCACCTGCAATCATAGATATTTGTCAATGAAATGAATTAGTCATAGATCATCAGTCCAAATCATAAAAATACAATAAAAATCATAAAACAACAATCAAAAACATAAAATCACAACCAAAATTTAACAATAACTGGCAATAATTAATACAACATGAACCCTTCAACCAAACTTTTGAAATTCCCTTTTGTGACTAAAATAAAATCACATTGAAACAAAGAATTCAGTTTTTAGCTTCGTTTGTATCAATATGGTGTAAAATCTTACCAGGGATCTCATTTTTATAAATATCAGAATTTCCACTCTTCATGGTCACACAACATTCAAATGGGGCGTAGAGATTTCTAGTTTGTTCCCAGTAAGCTGAATAGGTTGACACGTTTTCAAGACTTATTCCTGAGAAAAATAAAACAATACATAATACAGAGATTCATACCCTTGAAGACAATATTAAGACCGCAGTAAAGGGGTTTATAGTAGAATTTTGAGGAGTTCTTTAGCACTGACTAAAGCATGGATAACTTTACACCATTTGCTTAGTCACTTAGAACATATGATGGTTTCTGGTTTTAATGTCCATTGACATGGAAAAGTCTAGTGACTTTGAATAAGTCATCTTTTCTAATTTCCAGTCGACCAAGCTGTAAATCATTACAGATAATCTGGGAAAGTTTATAACAAAGAAGATTGGCTAAAGACCAGCTGGTAAAGAACTAAAATTTTTAAGAAAATAAATTAATTTGATTGGTTAATAAAACTAGATGTAATTCAATTTCAGTGATTGACCAATCAGATGAATTGGTTAATGTTGTAAAATGTGACGTTTTAACTTACCTGTATCTAATTGAGTATTTTCTAAAGCAGCAACCACAGCTCCCATACTGGGCTGTGATGTCATTCCAGACATTGAATCAACAGCTACGTCAACAACATCAGCTCCTGCTTCTGCTGCAGCCAACATGGCTGCCACACCTGCACCAGATGTATCATGGGTATGAACATGAATTGGTATATCTGGGAATTTATCACGAAGAGCTGTGACTAATAGTCGAGCTGCTTTGGGCTTCAGGAGACCTGCCATGTCCTGCAAAAAAAGAAGTGAAATTGAGTTTTATATTTAACTTTTTTAACTCCTGGTTTGGATAATGAAGATGGGCAACAAAATGCAGAATGTTATTAAATTGGCCTCCTTTATTATATTTTTCACCTGCCAAAGGATATCTAACATGAACAGTTTACAAGGCTATAGCTTAATGTGCAATACCAACTACTTTGTGAGATATACTGGACACAAAGTCATCAAGTATAAATCTAAACACAAACCTTAATACAGAGAATATGAGTTCCAGCTTTCACTAATTCAGACGCCAAATCTTCATAATATTTCAGGTTATATTTAGTTTTACTGGGATCTGACACATCTCCAGTGTAGGATATTGCAGCTTCTATCACACCACCTAAAAAATACAGAAATCAAGGTTATAAGTTCGGCCACAAATTGAAAGAGAATTGATTCAACTGACAGAGGTTTGAGGAGAAAGAAGTGATACTTGAGTTAAAAAGGTTTTATTACATGGGATCATTTGCTTGTCTGTTGTATTCAAAACTGTCAGTTTTACTCAAACTGTTCAGCTTCAATTCACCTGTACTTGTCAATCAAATACATCAACTTGTCCCTAGAAATAATATTTTGACAGAGGAGGTTATGGGGTCAAATTTTAACCTAAATTTTACACAAATATCTTACCGGCTTTTCCCACAGCATCCATACCAACAATAATATTGGGTAAATAATTCAGCGAATCAAAAATACGGAAAATATCCATGCCATGTTTTACTGCTAATTCACAAAATCTGAAAATAAAAATAGACTATGTTTATTTAAAATATATATTTTAGAACTTTAGGGTCAAAATAAGTCGATGTGGTATCCTACTTGGAACTGATAATTAGTGTTGTTGCTAAATAAACAAAGATGAAAATAAGTGGTCACTGGTCCCTGAATAGAGTCAGTCACTTAAAAGTTGTTAAATACACTAAAAAATAAAAATAGTGGGGACTATTTATTGATATCATATTTTGAAATGAAATGAATGGATTTTTATGTCCTCCTTTTCTGCACCATGTGGGCTAATGAAGACAGGCATCACCATGCAGGGTGCAATGACGGAAATTTTGCCAGGACAGTCATCATATTTCTAGGGTAAATGCTTTTAAAAGGCAGTTGTTAAACCATATCATCTTGAATGAATATGTTTAAATGTTATATTACATTAAAATCAGATTAAATTAAATCTAATGTAATTCTATAAATTTAAAACATATTCATTCAAGATGACCATGTCTAGTCTATAAATCATTTGTTACAAGAAACTACTTACTTGTAAACAACATTATCAGGGTAGTTAGTATAACCCACAGCGTTGGCTCCCCGTAGTAACATTTGAAAAGGTATATTGGGTATAGATTTACGTAGGGTGTCTAATCTCTCCCAAGGGCATTCATGAAGAAATCTTAGTGCTACATCAAATGTGGCTCCTGAAATAAGATACAAATAAAAAGTGACATCTTTCCGTTTAAATTTGAAACTCTGATTCACTTGGATTAATAATGTTTTTCTCTTTCCATGTAAGTTTATTGTCTGATTTTGATTTTGGATTCAATGATGCTTTTTGTCAAGAGGGCTAAAAATGCTCTAGTTTTTAGAAACTTTTGTCATTGAACTTCATTAAAAGATGCTGGTAAGGAACTGTTGTAAGGAACCTAAAAATATCAAAGGAAATTCTGTCCCTACTTTACCAAAATAAACCTACCTCCCCAGTTCTCTAAACTGTACAAGTTGGTGAAGTTATGAGCTGTATAGGGTGAGATACGTTTTAAATCGTACGTTCGAACTCGTGTTGCTAATAGAGACTGGTGAGCATCGCGATAAGTTGTATCCATTAGCAACAAACCGTCATTTTGTCGAACTTTCTTGGCAAATGCTTCTGGTCCATCTTTTATTAAAACATCTCTCCATCCACCCTGTGGTTTCTGAGCTGAAAAAAAAACAATACGTAAAAAGCCTGTCCATTTCACAGAAATTCTAAAATCAAAATCTATCCCTGATTGTAATTTCATAGAGATCTTACCAGAATAAGAAAAAAGAAAACCTATATAATTAAAAAGCATGATTGTGTATGAACATATAAACATATATCACAAAATAAAGCATCATTCACTATTACACCAATTTCATTTATATCAACAAATACATCGTTAAGAAACCTTTATACCTTTCAAAAGTAAATAATTTTACATACAATATACACAGCTTGAAAGCATTTAGTGATACATGCAATCATTAAGTCACATTGTGAAATTTGAAACTATACATATTAACACACATAAAAAGTAGAAATTATATCATTCAGTTATTAGTTATATTCACAATGTCAAGCTATTATCAACGTTGTCTTATACCTTGACTGCAGTGGCCACTTTTCTTGTATCACGAAACATAGTGATTTGATTGGATTGTAGGCCAGCGAATACTGCCAATCAGAGCCCTCGACAGAAAGACTGTGAACACAGTGATAATGTGTCACACATGCTGCAAAAGTGACATAATTCTGGTCTAATGTTGATTCAAACCTATGTATTTTTTGGAAAAGGGCAATCAATTTCCAGAAAACCAGGAAGAGCCAAACATCAGAATTCACTCTGAAAAGCTTTAAAAGCATCTGAATTAAGCTCTATAAATTAAAAGGCAAGCAAATCCCCATATTAGACAGATTAGCCCATATCCAATGATAAAGCGAAGGAGAAAATTTTACAAAAACTTAAATTTGAAGTGATTTTAAGTATACAATTCATCTGATTGGTCAATCACTGAAAATGATAATAAACCAATCAGATTATTATATTTCCTTCAGTTGCAGTTAATCTTTGTAAAGTTTTCATAAATTTGACTCCTATTCTATGTCTATATTTGTTATCTTTGTTAAAATTATTGATTTTGTTAGTAGAAAGCGAAGGGTCACTTCTAATAAAACACAGCCTAAAGATTACGTCTTTTTTTCAATTGCTATAATGCATGGAATGAGCAATGTAACCCAGAAAAAAAAAATAAAACATAAAATCTAACATATTTTAATTGGAAAAGTAAGAATATATCTATATTTCAATAGAATTGATTAAAGAAAAAAGATTTTTTTACAAGAATTTGTTAAAACAATAATCATTCAATTTATGAAATTTTCTTACCAACTCCCATATGGCTGCCTGAAAATTTGTTCGACAAAAATTTTACAAGATACAATTTCATTCAATATAATAGTCTCTTAAACTTTTTCAATATATATATTCATCATGTTTATCGATATATATTTAAAAACAGAGACTTCTCGTTCAGAAAAGCCAAATCTAAATTATATAGAAAAATCTAAGTGATAGATCATTCTTTACAGCTTGGATCTAATGATTCATTCCAAAATATCTAGTGGTTTGATATGGAGAATGCTGCTGTAGATGTAATATGCATTCTATCTAATTCAAACAATTTGTTATTCCAAAATCATGAATATTAGATTTGAGTCCATGGTTGACATGAAGGTTTACACAAAGCAATGATGTCCTTCAGAAAACACATTCCAAAACATAAAAATCAGTTTAAAACTATTACCTGGCCTTTGATAGCTAATACATTCTAGATATTTGTCAAAATTAGTTGCTAGTAAGGGTAGGAAATTTAGCGTTACATAGCTGACTTCTGCACAAAGCTATCAAAAACAATTGTCAGCAAGTTTTAGACAATGTAAACAAGGGACCAACATGTAAAATAACTGTTACTATGGAATGCCAAAAGCACCACCATTTCACCAAAACATAAATTAATTTTTCACAAAAATCAAGCAACTTACCAACAGGGGTTTCTGGGACAGTTGGTACAGTTTCACTGGGTTGAAGATTGGTTGCTAGGGGAGTAGAAGGTCCATTCACCATTACTTGTCCCATGTAGTGAAGTAATTTTTGAGCTCTGTTCTGTGATGGTTGGAATTGGAATAGTTGTGGATTTTCATCAATAAAGTATGTGTCAACTGAACCTGATACAAATTTTTCATTTTCTAGGACATTCAGTAGGAAGGGTATATTGGTCTGAAATAAAAATTAGAGATGACAAACATTCATGAAAACCTTGGCCCTGGTGACATAAACAACTACTTTGATCAACTTGCAGTCAAGGTTAAAGTAAATGGTTTCCGTCAAGACGTCAAGATTGAGATCAAGGTTAAAGATCACTTACCTTCACTCCACGGATTCTAAATTCTTTTAAAGCTCGTAACATTTTGGCAACAGCAGAAGGGTGGTCCTGAGCCTTGGCGATAATTTTAACCAATAGGGAATCATAATATGGTGAAACAATGGCTCCTGCAAAGGCAGACGCACTGTCCAATCGGATACCCATTCCTTCACCACTTCTAAATACCTAAAAATAGAAAGGAATAGCTCAGTCCGAAATGAATTGAATGCAAACAGGCATCTTCTTTTACCAATGATACAAAATGTTTCGCCAATATGTTCTCTTTTTTTTCTGCGTTTTGCCGTTCAGATCATTACTGGGTTTATCTATTATTATACATATATAGCTAAAAATAGAGCAAACATAGATAATTTGTTAAAGTAAAACTAACCTCAATTCGTCCTGTGTCTGGTTGGAATTGTTTAGCAGGATCTTCTGTTGTCATACGACATTGAATAGCGCAGCCGTTTAACTTCACCTTTTCTTGGGTCAGTTTTAAATCTTCTAGTTTATGGCCCTCAGCTATTCTAATCTGAGATTGAACTAAATCAACACTGAAACAGAGGAAAGACAAAGTTTAATAATTGTAAAGAGGTTTTTAAGTGTATCGAAGAACACTGAAAGCACTGAATTCTACCATTTTAATTTTCAGTCAGATGTCTGTAGTCAATTCTCCAATTGACATTTAGCATTTCTATAACAACATGAACCTCAGACATCTGATGGAATTTGGAATGATGCAAATAAAATAATTCTGCTGCACATCCACAAAGATAGAATCTTCTATTCACCCTATGAAAACTCGATATGTCTAATGTTTCTACAAAATAAAAAACAACCTACCCTGTAACTTCCTCGGTCACAGTGTGCTCCACCTGTAATCTGGCGTTAACTTCAATAAAATAATATCTTCCTGTGTTATCCAATAAAAACTCAACAGTACCAGCATTCTCATATCCTACATGTTTACAGAGATTTACAGCATCTCTTGTCATTTTGTCTCTTAAGACAGGATCTAGATGGGGAGCTGGAGCAATCTCTACAACTTTCTGATGTCGTCTCTGTACAGAACAATCTCTCTCAAACAGATGAATCACACTTCCATGAGAATCACCTAAAATTAAAATAGTATGTTTACCCTCTTTTTCTTATTTGGCTAATGAAATGGTGTTATAATGGCAGTAGCCTTTTATCTCTTTTTAGATCTCAAACCATCAGACTAAAAGTTGAAGAAGAGAAGGAAAACAATTGGCATTCACAAAGAAAAGATTTAATTGTAACCATTTCTGAAATGATTGTGGTCTGAAGTTATCATATTTACAGTCAAAGTGACCTCCCCTTAAGACCTCTTTCCCTGTGCCTTACTGATCATTAAATACATGGTCTGCTTTTACAGTCTAAGGAAATATTTTAGTTCGAATGTACTGATTGTTCTTTTGGATTTAAACATTATTCTCATAAACAGCGCAAAGTTTTAAGTTAAAAACATACATATGCACTGCAATGAGTAAAATATTGTCAAGATATACTGTCAGACATGGCCTTGATTTATTGTCCAACCAAAACAGTCGACAAGATGCTTTTACCTTGTGAAGGAGAGACCCCATTGAGAAGAGCTTGATCCACAATAAAACAAGCGGATGTGAGTTTTTGAGAAAAGATAATCTAAATCCATTCCATACCTATAATCTGAACTTCTATATGTCTGGGTCTTTCAATGAATTTTTCTAAAAACAGAGAACCATTACCAAAAGCTGTCAAAGCTTCTGAGGTGGCACGATTAAAGTTTTCTTTCACTTCCTACAAATTATAAGTTACATTATTAGCCAGGTATGTCTGAGTGGAACATGAAAATATTCCTTTGGTGGAAGTCAGTGTATTCAATTAAAAGTAGGCAATATTCATTAATATTGAAAACTAGCATATAAAAACCCTTATATTCTCTATAGGATAACGCTTCTACAACATAACTCTGACTGTTTTCAAGTCAGTCTGCCCCAAGTTTCATGTGGCTGTCACTGCAACTGCATCAGATATAAACTTACATCTAACTTTCTAACCACTCTCATTCCACGTCCACCTCCACCATAGGCTGCTTTAAATATAACAGGTAGACCATGATCTTTACAGAAATTAACAGCCTCTTCTGCTGATTTTACTGGTCCGTCTGTTCCTGGCACTACTTCCACTCCTGTTGGAGAGAAAGATACATCAGTTATCATCAATACAAATCACTACAAAATTTTATCATTTATAGAGCACCTACACTATCCAATATTAATATTATAGAATTTAATCAAGAATCAAGCTGATATTCTAACCTGCCACATTAACAAAGATGGTTGACAAATCTTTCAAAAACAATTTATTATCAAATATTTCCAATTAAAATTTCGTAATTAATACCAATACTAATTGAAATATATTTGAGAAATAGCAGTAATCTTCCATCGAAAAAATGAATTTTTACCAGCAGATATGGCAGCTTGTCGAGCCTCTACTTTATCTCCCATTTTACGAACAACTTCTGGAGACGGTCCAATAAAATTTACACCAGCATCAATACACGCAGCAGCAAAATCTGATCTTTCTGATAGAAATCCATAACCAGGATGTATGGCATCAACACCATTTTCCTATAAAACATTACTTAGATAATTCTTTTCAGAAAATAAATTGCAAAGCAGTTTTCTTGAAAGTTATTAAGATTATTTCAAACATGATATTACAAATGACCAGGTTTAATTTAATTGTAGACATGCAATATTCATTGATATTTTAATAAAATATAAGCTTACTCAAAAGTTGAATATGAAAGATATTTAATCAAAAAGAAAACTACCTTGGCTATATGAATAATCTCTGGTATATTTAAATAGGCTGCCACTGGAGGTAGACCTTTCCCAATTAAATATGATTCATCAGCTTTCTGGCGGTGCATGTGCATCATATCTTGTTCAGAATATATAGCTACTGTTCTAATATTCATTTCTGTACAGGCACGAAACACACGAATAGCAATTTCACCTGGAAAAATAATATAGACATGTTCATTACTAACATTTTACTGATCTCCTACCGTATTCTCAAAAGAAATCTTAGCAATGGATGTCCTAGGGTCTTAAAAATTAGGGTGTAAAATTGTGTATTATACAAGCAAATATAGCGTAGTTGAATGTATTAAAGTATAAATTCTTACCTCTATTGGCCACCATGAGTTTTTTAATTGGACTTTTAATCAAATCTTTTGCCGGTTGAGTTACATAACTTCTATGTAGTGGATTTTCAATTACATTCTGAGAACTTTTTCCCTGGAGCACCTTTTTAGTTTGATTCGACACTGCTTGTGTAAAAAGTTTATTTTGGCCATTTTGAATTTTGGCAACACAGCTTTGTAGACGCAACATGTTGACGTCAACTCTTACTCTGTTAGTTCTTCAGACACTGTTGTTCCAATATCTGTAAAAAAAATAAAAAAAATAAAATAAGAATAAGAAATATAAGAAGATTAAGTTAACAGTACTGGAAAAATTTGTTTTTTAAAAAAAATCTCATAAGGGAAAAACATAGGAAATATGGAAAAATATACACTTCCAGAAAAAAAGAATCCCCACAAAATTAGGTGTCTATAAAAATAATCACCTATAATGATCTATTACTGTACAACATACAAACAAACTGTCCAAAACTGAACCATAGACTGACACACAACACATAAACCAGATGACATTTTGATGACCCTACCTTGTATCAACCCTCCTTGCCCTTTACAAAGGTCTACTGTCTGCAGTCTGCATGATGAGCTCTAATGATGACCTATTATATGACCTGTATATATATATATATATATATAAATGAAACCCCTACCCTTATTAAAAGACCTTGTTATCAAATGATGACCTATTGCTGTATATATCTACCTGTATGTTATATCCCTGATTCCCTCTCAGACCTCCACCAGTCAGACCTCTATTGACCACTTAGTCTGTACCTGCCTCTAATGTTAGAAAATGATGACTTACACCAGTGTATCTATACATATCCCTATCAGACCTCCTCCATGCAGACCTCTATTGACCACTTACAGTCTGTACTGGCCTCTAATGTTATAAAATGATGACTTACACCAGTGTATCTATATATATCCCTATCAGACCTCCTCCAAACAGACCTCTATTGACCAGCAGTCTGTACTGGCCCTTAATGGACCTTGTCATAAAATGATGACCTATTATATGTCTTGTATGTATATCATGAATGAAAACCCTAATACAGACCTCCACCAGACCTTTATTGGCCCCATATAGCCTGTACTGGCCCCTAATGGACCTTATCCTATATTGTATACTTCAATAAATAATAAAAGAAAAGCAAGACCATCTGGTGTGAGAGCAACATCTGGTTCTGGTATTTTTAGCACCTAAGGTATATTCTAGTCTATTGGTTTGAAGACAGATGTTTACAAAAAACATCACTTCACATTATCTTTTTAATTATATATCATTTATCATACAAGATAATATATCAACATTTCATTAGGTTAAAATACATTTGAATTCCTTCAAGGGACAGATTTTTTATTTAATATAGGTCTTGAAAATAGAATTACAAGAAATGTTGGTACAAAAATAGCATAATTCCTTCAAAAATACCTCAAACTAGCTATTTCTATACATATATATATTTGGCAGAGTCTCAAGAAATGTTGTCATTTTATTTACAAACATGGATAATTCTGGACACACATGGATTTGAAGGCTAAAATTTTGACAGTGAGCTGTGAACACTATTACAGATTAACTTAGCTAATAAATTTCAGTTTCTGAGATTAAGGTATGATTAGTCAAACGAATGGCGAACCTGTCCCTTTAAACTTTATTTACCCTATTTTCATTTCTCAACTATAATTTATTTTAACCACTAATATGAAATTACAGTTACATTTCATTATTTATATTTACAAATGAGGAAAGTAAAAGAAATCACTGAAGATGAACAAATATCATATTATATGACTGAATAATGAATGAAAACATTATTAGATATTGAATTACACAAGCAGTCAATGAAAGCATTGCTGGATACAGGTCAATAAAAATACAAATAATTTTATATGATATATCAAAACGGTCATTGGCTCCATGTTACTTAGTACATAAAGGTTATTGACGTACATGTGTGATATTCATGTCACAAAATAACTAACAAGCCAGTTACACATTTGAGCTAAGGAGAAGGCCTTGTACAATACAATAGAATACATGAATTATGAGATGAAGTCTAATTTAAGGGATTATAAAAAGGTTTTCTAAATTTTTTATGTATATCCGGGACACTGATAGAATCAATTTGCACCATTCCAATTTTCATTCAGACGTCTGCATTTCCTGCAATTCCACTGAAACTAAGCGTTTGTTAATTGTAGATGGCAAAATCAGCTTATATCATAGATGGCCCTTTGCAATAGTGATGTCATAAAAGGCTTAGTGTATTAACATAACAATATAATGATAATCATAATAATCTACTATTAATTATGGAACAAGGTGTTACATACCTCTTCATTGTTATTAAAATACAATCAGATAGAGAAAATACAATAGATATATTAGCTGGTCATGTTATTTTATCCCAACCATTATGTTTCAAAATATTACATTGAGAGCATAGTTTAAAACAGGCCTAGGGGCAAAAACCTAGAGGCTGAGAGATAGGTGACAGGTGGGAGGCTATGAGCAGGTTGGACTTGCAGGCTTAGGTTGTAGAGAGGTTTTGTAAAATTTTATGGGAAACTAATAGCATAGATTTGTACCATTCAGATTCATTTTCTTAGTTTAAGTTGAATTGCAAGCCACAAATGTCTATGCTATCAGTGTCCTTAATGCACATTTAAAGATCAGAAAACCTCTTTACAATCTCTCTGAACTGTTTTATTTTCAAAATACAGCAGGCAATATACTTTTTATTTCCCCTTATTAACTTGAATTTTAAAATCAGCAACTTGCTATCAGGTGCAAAAAATTTTTTATTTATTTTCTCTTTCATTGGATAATAATAAAGTTAATAACTGATACATTGATAAATGTCTAGCATGTCTAGTCAAGATAGTGTCGTCTGCTAGGTTTGGTCAAGGTTGTTGATTTGGCTGTATTCACCAATCCTGTCTGACTGTCTGATATGTAGCTAAACTGACAGAATCATCTATTCAAATAAGGGGTACAACTGATGTTTATTCAAAGGGATTTTGTGTTACAACAAAGAAGTAATGATAGGCTTTAAAAGGAGCTATGCGTCATTAAATTGAATACATCCTGAAGCAGTTGCAATAATCCTTGCATCATATCTCCGATAATTTTGCTTAAAAGTATATAGTTATATCCTGAAAGAAAATCACAAACCCAGCAGACGACAATTATATATAATTAATGAAAGAATCTGTGGAATTCAGCAAGATAGAAATAGAAATATACTAAACATTACTGTCATATCCTTATACAGGAACAAAACAAGCAGACTACATATAGCATCCTTCATATTTATTATCATATTCAAATAAAAATAGACCAAACTAAAGATGAGTACTTAATCCTGTGGCAATATCCTGTGAAATCTTGTGAAATAAAACCATTGACATAAATCTCATTTAAACCAATAATCCTTACAGACACAGAAAGATTTTCTAAAAACAAACCTTACAGAAGACACTTCCAAGATAAGCTTATAGGATCTATCCTCAGTGACCTCTATTTTTTTTCAAGGTCAAGGCTATAGTGTATCATTTCATTTACTTACTGAACAATACAGCTGAAGTCAACTAAGGGATGGCTTCAATCCTGTTCAACACATGACATATATATATAACAAGGATGTTCATATTGCTATGTTTGCCAGTCATATCTGATTAGACCTTGAAATGTCTAGCTTAGACTTTGGCCTGAAGGACACTTTTTTGATACTAAGAATCATAACTAATTGAAAACGAAAATAGATAACAAATCTTGAAATTCCACCATGTTTGGCATCACTATCCTATTTTTATAAAGAATAATATTGTTATCAGTGAATATATTTTAACACATTATCATTCACTACTCATTTCACTATAGCTAAGATAAAAACATAAGACAAAATAAGCCGTTAATTGCAGTAAAAAAATCACTTACTAAAAGCTATGTTCATGCTGCAAATGACATAATTACATATTTATTTAGCACATGAGATGCAAAATATATAAAAGCAATCGACTGGAATCTACTTATGTTGTTAATAATTCCAGCCCATGAAAATCTAAATTATTTGAACTGAATTTGCAGCTTGATACAAAACATCCAGTAAACAAAATTAAAGAAGCTTTTAAATTCAGAAGAAAAACATGCAACAACAAATCCATTTATGATTGCATAAAAAACACTTTTATCAGAAACTTACTATGAATTCGGAAAACTCTAGGTTCACCCTGATGATAGCTTGAAGTCCAAAGACTAATGTACTAAAATGCATATACATTTATATAAATTCATATAGTAACTGTGTATACCTTAAGTTGGACTTTGAACCCAATAAATTGATGAAATATATTATCTTCAACTGGAGCATGAAAAGTCAATATGAACCTTGCTTATTATTTTGACTGAATTTTCACAGATACTCACTCAAGTGATATCAACAACTAAATTTTCACTTTTTAAATATAATCTGACTATTTTCACTCATAAAAAGAACAGATCATCTAGTACAGAGATAGATACAAACTAACATAGGTGTACTGCATCCGTAATCCAAACATCCTTGGGATAGGTAGGAAATTCCTTAATGTCTTATAAATTTTGGAGCCTTGCATGTCGAGTCTAGAACTGCTAGAACCAAACTTTCACTGACTGAATTCATTTCAAGATTCTACTGACAACATTCAATATACATCAGAAGTGTTGATAGTAGAATTCTATCTCAAATTCTCAATTGTGTATATTCTGACTGCTATATAAGCATATATCATGAACCAAATCCAAGACCAGCAACCAATTACCACGATCAGAACAAGTTTGAAAGAATGAAGAAGATTGAATAACTCACGCCACACCGTCCAGGTCAGAGTGTCATTCGACTAGACCAGATCTCATGAATTATCAACAACCAAACCCACAGCACAGAATCATCCCATTTGAATCAATCCAACTACCAACTACTACGACTACCAACAACTACCTAGTTTGCGATATCAGCATCCACTGGAAGCGAACGTTAATTTGTCATCTACCAACCAGCCATTTCCTAGCAATCCTAATATCTGTAATAATTTTATGTGAAAATGTTAAGAATGTCCAGTAAACGGTGACTGTTTTTACCTGAAAGGTTTGTTTTTGAAGCAGACTCTTTATCTGTTGGAATAGCTTATCTTAGAGGGTTATATCCCTTTATGATAGCATTTTTTATAATGCAAATACAAAGAGCATCAAAGTCTACGATAGTAAAGAAATAAGTCAAGAACATCTCAAAATAAGGCACGATACACCAAGGAAGTCTAGATTTAGATTTATCTGGAAATTTTCAATTTCATGAATAAGCAAATCTTAAAGAAACACAAAGGCTATTTTTCCCAATATGATAAAATTCTACAAAGGTCATTTTCACGAAAAATATCTGAAAGGTCAAATCTATAGCCAAAATTTAGGGAAAACATTCAGACATGACTGGAGAATAGAATCAGATCAACATCCCTGGTAGAGAATAGAAAAATTTCATATTGTTACTATCGTGTAAGGTTAAAATGCTTATGTTATAGCAGTGTAATTTAACCATCAATCTAGAGTTCATTATTGATTTAAGATAAACTACAATATCCCTGGCCTAGTCTCTCTCACTCTAGCTCGCTATAAATTAATTATATTATTTCTATTTCCATTTCTCTTAAAATTCCTTCCAACTCCATTCTATTCAATTTATCATACCTTCTTGGCTCATGCAATAAATCAATTAGACAAATTCAATTCTTATAATTTCTTCAGACTCCATCTTTCTCAACAGTATACTTATGTCAAGCACTTCCTACGAACCCCCACCCTCCCAAGCCCAGTTGTTAGGGCGCAATCCGTGGGACCTTGAAAATTAAGCCCAGAAAAGCCTTCTTCAGTTCAGCAGAGATTGATTCATTTACAGTGACTTAATATACATGTATGTTATGTATATGATATGATATGTATATATGATATGTTCTTGGCGCCTAAAAATTGTCAGAAATTAGTTCTCTGGCCCTACAATTCTTCAAATTTTCTAAATACAAAATCCGAGCCCAATTTTTTTCTGGCAACAGGGCTTGCTCCACCCCCTCGCCAATGGAAGATAAAATTCCACTTGCAGATAGACTGTACTAGAGAAATGTACACATAAAATGTATTTTGCTTTTGGTTCCTTTTTGGCTGAAATTTCTGTGTAGCATCTGTCAGCAAATAATTGACAATTTCCTACTTGTCGACTAAAAAACTTTATAGACTTCACTTTTTGCACCTTGAGTCTTGAGTGCAGCCAGCCAAGAGTGAATACTGAAAAGAGTGTACAGTAGGCCGGCGCTACCTCACACTTAGGCCTAAAGTGTTTTAAGTGTAAGAGAACTGAATGTGATTCACTTACATTTGCAGTGAAGCGGGACTGATTGGTTGCATACTTTCTCTTATAATGTAGCCTACGCATAAAATTAGGAAAATTACCTGAAACTCGGTTTCCTTTCACCAAAAACCCCAGTAAAGAGTGGTCAAAACCAATTGCAGCACTCGGTTGTTGATGTCGTGGGTGTGTGTCCTTGACCCCGTTCGTGAAACGTGATGATGGAAAAAATTACGCATGTTTTCTCAACATCTACACCATGACATCCAACAGAATCGTTTCATTTTTATTTGAATCAATCCTATAAGGCGATTTTGATATCAAAGAGGGTCTATGTACAAACAAATGTCTCATTTGTAATTTGATTTTAAAATATAAGCCGACTTGTTGACCTTTTTGGCTACAGGTCGGTGAAAGAGAAATTAGATTAGAAATTCAGTCATGTTTGACCTGTACCGACTTTAAGATCAGCAAAGTATCTGATTAAAGGGAGACAACTCTTAATTAATCGTGAAACTGTCATGGCGGTCTAAATTGAGAAATTATTAGACTTTTACTAATTTAAGACATTTTTGAAATAAATTAGGAAATAGAAATACCAGAACACTCGGATTTATCATGGGTTTATTATTGTCTAACCTAAATGTCGCTATTTGGGAATAATCGTCAGCTACTTTTTTGACAAAGCACTATTATTAGTAGCTACTACTGCTATTATTACCTATTATTATTTTGTTTTGTTCTCCTCACAACCTACCCTTTCTAAGGTAAGTAAAGTATAGAAGTTTGTCTGTAAATTCACAACTGGATGAATGAAAGTTTTAAAGTTCTGTAGAAATTCTAATTACCTAATACTATACTAACAGCTTAAACTTCTATCATGGAAAATGTAACTTGTTTTCAAAGAAATGATGAGTGTGAGTTTCTTTTTTAACCTATTATCATCAATCATAGCAAAATATAGCCTAAAATATTATGCTGGTAGACTCGAAATATTGTTCATAATAAAGCAAAGTAAGATTACCAATTTTCATACCTTTTTATTTTTAGGTGCCTAAAGACTGTAGCAAATGAAACACTTTAATTCAAGTTGATTCAAAGACAGGATGAGTTCTGAAAACCCAAGCAGCTCGGATGAGAAAAAGCCAGTAAAAGAAAAAGAAAGTAACTCTGGTAATAAAGATTCGACAGGATCAACAACTGATATGTCGTTTGCTATCATACCTAAAGAGTCTATTAGGATGATGGGAGAAGCCAGTGGATATGCTGATCTCTCAGATGATGTTTTGTCATTGATCAGTGAAGATATTAGCTATAGAATTAGAGAGGTCACTATGGTAAGTATAAGAATACATGTATATTAACGTTGGTATTATTTCTTTTTTGCATAAACAAATTTGTAAATATCTACAGTCGAGACAGACTTATATAAGCTTTATGTTTGTTTCTGGATCGCAAATGTATATTTGTTTGTACAATGTTTTTGAAATAAATACTGTTTAGAGTTTTTGTTTCTCATTCTAGAACAGTACTCAGTACATGAAACATGGTAAAAGAAGAAAATTGAATACTGAAGACTTTAATAAAGCTTTGAGACAGATGGATGTTCAGGTAAAGTTACTGGTGTTGTTTTAAATTTGAATTAACTACTGAGGCATAAGAATGTGGTCTACCATGATATGATTTTCTTATTGGCCTAATAATCAAGATTTAGTGCAATTAATCTATAAGTTAATATAGAATGAAATAGTTTAGTCAAAATGGGATCTGCATCAAATTGATTTAGTATAGTCTAATCTATTGTATTACAGCCAGTATATGGTCATGGTTCTGGGGAAGTTTTAACATTTAAACAAAATAAAGAAGGAGATATTCACTTTGTAGAAGATACTGAAGTTAATTTCTGTGATATTGCTCTGGGAAAACATATTCCTAAAAATATAGGTGAAACCACAATCAAAGGTATGTGCTAGACTATCTGTGTGGAACATAAATTTCAGATCTTCTCTGACAATATTTAATTAGATTTCAGTCAAATATTAAGAATTTGTACAGATAGTGAAAGTAACAAGACAGACAAATCACTGTCTTAGACTTCAAGGTAAAGATTTTTTTATAGAAACAATTGCATGTAGGTGTATTTAATTTCAATACATGCTTTAAAGAATACTCACTTTTTTTCAGTTGATTGGTTAGCTATTGAAGGAATTGTAAAATCATCAACTTTAGGTAGGTAATAGCCAAGACTAGCTGTTGACATAAGTATTGTATTTGATTAAGTAGATTTCTTTGCGATATCAGCATCTGCTGGAAGCAAACGTTAACTTGTCATCTACCAACCAACCAAGTAGATTTCTTCTCTGATCTGAAAGACTGAATAATTGTCACTTCTGAGCTGCTGATTAATCACATTTTCAAATACTGATGATCTTTTGTTATTAAAGTCAACCCATCTGTTTATGGTATGAAATGTCTAGGAAAATGGTTTTGGTTTATTTCAGGGAAAGGAAAGAAAGAATTATCAGAAGATTTATTAAGTTACTACAACAACATCACAAAATCATTACTGGACATAGACCCTCAAGTTCGTATGGTAAGTTACTTGTATTCATCATAAAGATTAAACTAGAATGTAGCAGACTATCTGACATCATCTTCACAATGTCAAGCTATTTCGATCTTCGTACTTATACCTTGACTGCAATAGCCACTATGCTTGTATTGTGGAAGAATTGGATTGTACCTCAGCGAATGCAGCCATACACTGGCCTCAACAGAAAGTCTGAGAACACAAAGCCATAATGTCACAGTCTCTGATTGACTGTAATCGTTGGTGTACTATACAGACATTGTTGCATTCTCAGATAGAAGAAAGGTGGTTATTGCAGTGAAGTTTGTAATAGCCTGACATTGTGAAGATGTTTGACATCTAACCCTTGGACCATAAGTAGAAATCTATCATGTAGTACATGATCCTGCAGTTGAAAATAATTATTTATCAATTGATTTAATTTTCAGATGGCTTTAAATGATTTACGAGTGAATCCTAATATTGTTCCATTGTTGTCTTATTTTGTTAATTATGTCTGTTATGGGGTAAGTTAATTTTAAATTTTTAACTATCTTTATTCGAAGATGCGAACCATTCTGATTTCAGCATAAAGATTATGATATAACACTCAAATAACGACTTTAGAATTTGGGGATAATATCATTGCAATATCCATCCATTCTCAGTGACTGGACAACTGGCTGTGTGGCAGGTTTTTTTTTTTTTAAATTTTTTAAATTTTTAAATTCTCTTTATTTCATATTCAGAAAAACAGGACATGTTACTGTATTCATTTGCAAATATATTAGCCTTGAGCAATTGATATTCAATCAATTAAAAAAAAAAAATCCATAAATAGAAAATTGATTGTTTTTCTGACACACCTGGTTCATTATAACTTGTAAATGATATTTAACCTTTACCTTATTTATGTTCTTTATCTTGTAATTTTTTAACGTTTTTTTTGTTTACAGGTAAAAACAGTGAGCCATGATATATCCAAGTTAACGATTTTATTACATGCTATTACCTCATTAATCAATAATCCAAATTTAGATTTTTCTCCTCAACCTTACGTAAGTAATATTGTTAAAGAATATAGAATTCTACCTGCTGATAGACTATATTTTTAAGTATTCACTGTACGACATTGAACTTAAAGGAATCTAGTCAAACTATTCATGCAGGATAAACTTATCAAAAAGAATATACATACCTATATTTCTAATCCAAATTAAGTTTGACTTTATATTCTTCTACAATGATAAAAGGTTATATTCCTTGTAAAATTGATTATCAGATTGTTAGGTCAAGCAAATGGCGGCTGTGGTTTCAATTCTCGATCTCGATGACCTTGAATTAATAATGTTCACTCATAATTCCAGCTGTAAATCCAGGAAAGATCAATTTCAAAAGGTTTGGCCGATGACCAGCTGGTAGAAAGTATCCTTAACATCCTTAAGATGTGGAAGTGTCGTCAGCGCAGATGGAGCATCTGAGAGGTTTCTTCCAGTGCATTCTGATCCTTCACATGTTTTAGGGCAAAAACGTATAGAACTCATTTTTTTAAAATTGGTAGAAGTGGAGTGGGGGTTCCATTAGGGGTACAAACACCACTGGAATCCTTATATCAGGCCTAATGTATTTGTGTTATATTGTAGTTAAATCTAATGGTACAAGCTATAATGTATAACCTCACAGAACCTGTAGCTACATCGTTTAACAATACCAACGATCATTGGTCTTTACGAGACTATGCTGCTAGACTACTGGGTGAGATTGTGAGGTAAGATCATTACTCTTTACGAAACTATGCTGCTAGATAACTGAGTGAGATTGTGAGGTAAGCCTGCCAAAATATTTGAAAGTAGAGCTCAAATTCATTTGTCTGTAGCTATTATTTGTAAAATGTTCTGTTCTTACTTAAAGATTAAATTCACTATTATTCAGAAAGGTCATATATAATTATTATATAAAACTTGTTTGTAAATATTGTAAAGTTATCAGAATTTATAAGAACTGATTTTATTGTAGAAAATGGAGCAACCCATTAAACCATCTACTCTATAATACAGTTAAAGAATTAAAAGATGTCTTATTTGATTTAAACAAACCATTCTGTTCACATTACGGTGCTGTTATGGGGTTGATAGCATTAGGAACAAAGGTAAAGATTTAAGTTATAGTGTAGTATATTTATTACTATAAACTCAACATACAACTCAAACATAAACACATAGCAGTGCACTTAATATTAATGATGTATAGATAGTTATTAAAACTATCAAAGTCAGACCTGTATTGTATTCAATGGTAGAATGAATAGTAATTGAGTCTGTATACTAAGTAGTTTCTACCTAAAGATAATTATGGACTGCCCTTGTTTATGTTAATAATCATCTCACAATGTGCATTTAAATTTCTCTCTGAACCATTGCAACCATATTGTTGATGTAGTTTAGTCATCTGTCAACAACAATATTTTTTGTTTTCGTTTTTATTATGTTATTATTATGAAACTTTTGTTCAGTAGAGAATTCGCTGCATTCAGCTAAAGAGACAATGCATTATGAGTCTATGGGGGGAGCAAGGCATCCATGCATAACTCATTCATTAAGTATTGTTTCTGCACCATTGTTTTGTAAGATGTTCAAAAGAATGCTGATCTGTTCTCTTTTTTTTAACAGTTGTTAAAGGGATTGTAAAGAAGTTTTCTATTCTTTGTATTTATAGGGGATAAATTTTTATTGCGTTCATTTGCACCAATCCATTTCACTTTGACTTCTGTGATTTAAAGGGACAAGTGTGCCATTTGACCAATCATATATTAGTCTCAGAAACAGGATTTTTTTATAGCTAACCTAATCAGTAAATCACATGTTTGTCTAAAAGAATTATGCGATTTTCGTACATTTCTAGTACTTCTGAAAACTATTTACGTATATTCAAGTCTCAAATAAACCCCTCAAAATGGCACATCTGTCCCTTTTAACAATAACAAAATGCATGACTAAATTTAGTAAATTATGACATCAAGCTAAATTCAGTTTTTGCAATAGTTATGGTCAGGTTTTTCTAAAATTGCAAGACTCACAGTCGTCAAATGGGATGTCTGAATGGTGCATATGGAAGCTAAAAGTGGATCCAATATTAGGACTAATAAACCCTTTGCATTCCTTTTGAGGACATCTTCACAATGTCAAGCTATTACAAACTTCATCTTATACCTTGAATGCAATAGCCACTATTCTTTTATCAGGGAATACAGCGATTTGATTGCATTTTGGAGCACATGACAGAAAGACTGTAAACATTTGGGCTTATGGTTTACAGACTTCTTGTCAAGAGCTCTGATTGGCTGTACAATCCAATCAAATTACTGCATTAACCAAATTCTGTGATACAAGAATACCGGCTATTGCAGTCAAGGTATAATACGAAATTCGTAGAACCTTGCAGTGTGAAGATGCTTTGAGGGTTATTTCCATTTGATAATTATGCAGATCTACAAGTTTCGTTTTGAGTATGTTATTATCTTGCAGACTGTAGAAGAAATACTTTTACCAAATTTACCGTCGTTCTGGTCTCATTTGAACATGGCAATGGAAGACACATCAATACGCAACGCTCTAGTCAGAGCAGACGCTTATAAAGTTTATGGTGCTTTACTGGTAAGTCTTTAACTCACCCAAATCTTCACAATGTTAAGCTTTTACACACTTCGTCTTATACCTTGGCTATAATAGTCTCCTTCTTGTGCCACAGACGTTTGTATATGCAGTGATTTGATTGGATTTGAGTGGTATTTTAGCAAATACGGCCATTAAGAGCTCTCGACAGAATATCTATAAATAATACTTAATAATGTTTACAGTCTTTCTGTCGAGGGTTCCTCTAATACCCTTGTTTTCAAACTTTTGGTAAGGTTTTCTTATCCTTTCCATTTCTTCTTCTAAATAACTGGGTACAAAGGTCGTCCTAATATCAGAATGAAGTCCATAAGATGTTAAAGCAGTAAATTGTGGACCATCTTTCGAAAGTCAAGCCAAACCCAAAATCTTGAAAAACATGAATTTAGTCACTATTATGTTTTGAATTATTTCAATTCATACTTAAATTTTTGTCTAAAATAATTTTTTTTTGTATGTTTTTACAATGGAATACAAAGATATTTGCCTAGATTTGTGAAACCAGGACATTATAAATGTTTACCATAACGGTAATACCTATCACCTAGACATCTCTCTTTATATATTTCAGCTGGCAGCAGAAAAATTGATCAAAAAACGATTCGAAGATTTTAAAAAGGAAAATAGCTTAAACACTGAATCCAATTCAGATAACACCGTTCAGAATTTAGAAAAAGGTGGTTTTATGTTCGCAGGAGCAAAAGTGTTGATCAAAAAGCCCCTTGAGTTATATAGAGAACTTTATGAATATTTCGGTGACAGTTTAACGTTACGCGTTGATCAAACTTCGACTGTAAACTTTCAGGAAGTGTTTCCTGTAACAAAAGAAGAAAAGTTGGTCAGTTTGTCGGATGCTGACGGGTTGAAAACTGGAGAGGAACTTTTGGAAGAATTCATGGAACAAGTCCGGGTTCAGGAAATTCTCGACAAAGAGAAGAAAATTAAAGAAGAGAAAGATAAAGCACGAAGAGAAAAACTTGAAGCAGAACAGAAGGTTCTTCAACAGCAGAAAGACGTGGAAGATCGCAGACGCCAAATGTACCAAGCTATGGTTAAGCAGAAACAGGAAGAAGAAAATATGAAAAGATGGGAAGAGGAAAAACAACGCAGAGAGGGTGAACGGCAAAGAGATGAAGCTTTGCGCAAGAATCGAGACAAGAAAAAACGTCAAGATCGCCGAAAGCGTGAAGAGGAACTACGCAGGTTAGAAGAAGAACGAAGAAAAGAAGAGTTGCTGCTGACAACGAGACAGCCACGGCGTGAAGGTCCTAAGATTAACTATAAAGAAGACGATGATGATATTGATGTCGAAGCTGATGACGACAGCGACTATGTTCCCGATCACCCAGTTCATGTTGAAAAACCGAAATCGGATCAGTCGGAAAATACGGATGAATATCATTCTGATGGACAAATCGTGCAGGTTCAACCGCAGGCCGGGACGTCGCAGGAAAATGTTGCTATTACTAGTATGATAACAAATCCAGGGGGTGGGATCAAAATCAAAATTAAAAAACAATACATGAAGTCAGACGAATACGATAGTGGAACGCCGGAACGAAAGGAGAAAAAAAAACGAAAAAGAAAGTCTAGTGTAAAAAGTGATTCTAAAGTGGACCCGTTTGAATTTAGCGAGAAATCTGATACGGATGATTATACATTGTATCGGCCTCCCGGCCTCACTCCTCAACAATATTTCTCTCCCAGTGCGGGGGACAGTAGTGAATCAGACACATTCCGTAAATCGAAGTTAACTTTAAAACTAAAGGTCCCTTCCCCTCATTTAAGTGACTCCAGTAAAAAATAAATATACTCAACATTTTATTTGTGTTGTTTTTGATGCAGGGTTTTTTGTGAATAGCCAGGCTTTATTTGGAAAAGGGGAATATATCATCTTCCCAAAATTCTTTTCAAAGTTTTTTTTTCAGAATTACGTAACATATCTAGACACACCTTTATGGAACAACAATCACTGGTTAAAGTTTTATGCAACGTTTCGACGTGTTTCCCCCGTCGTCCTCAGGCACATAATGAGAAGAAGTGATGGGCAAACTATATATACATTAATGCTTATTATTAAGAACACACCAGGCTGATATCTTCTGATGTGGATAGCTTCATGAAGTCTCCTGGTTTTATCTATGTTCTTATTGATTGTCAGTATGTTGGTGTTGTCAAAGTTGACTTTATGTCCTGTTTTCCTTCCGATAGCAAGATGTTCAGCCACAGCAGATGTTCCTTCATTGCCGGGCTTGTCTTGATGGTCTTTGAGTCGAACATCAAGGGGTCTCTTTGTTTCCCCTATATAAGAGCTTCCACAGGAGCACTCAACTTGGTAGACACATCCCTTAGGTTTTTGGTTGTTGGAGGGATTCAATTTACCACTGGCTCTGAGCAAATCTTTAAGCGTTGAGTTGCCAGAGAACACTGTTTCAATGCCGACCAGGAGACTTCATGAAGCTATCCACATCAGAAGATATCAGCCTGACCTTAACAGAGATGAAGGTGTTCGTTTATCGCATGCATATGATAAACTTATCAACTTGTAATTATTTACTTAATCAGCCTGTATGTTATTTTAAGAATTATATACCTCTTATTGTACCTGTTAAAATTTAATGTAATGTATCAATAAACCATTTATCTCTTGTGTGTTCTTAATAATAAGCATTAATGTATATATAGTTTGCCCGTCACTTCTTCTCATTATGTGCCTGAGGACGACGGGGGAAACACGTCGAAACGTTGCATAAAACTTTAACCAGTGATTGTTGTTCCATAAAGCTGTGTCTATATATCGTACTCACAATTGCTAAATGCCATTTAAAGACTTTTTACGTAACATATCTATTATTTTGACGACAGACCAGCAGTCGTTTGGCGTTTTTGACGTTTTGAAGTGCACCATTTGCAAAATTTCTCGAATTTTGTTTTCTAAACTTATGCAACTTTGCATACAGGTTTACATGATTGCATTCAGCATACGTTGCTGATCTTCATTCATTCATTTATGCAAGCAAAAGAAATCAATTGTTATAGCTAATGATTAGCCCAATCAGACCAAAACCATAAAATCCATTTCATTTCACCCCCGCACCAATTCTTACCACAATACGAGTATAAATTTTATAAATCATTGAAAGATTCGCGTCAATTCCAAGCTGTTATGTTAAATTTCATGGCAGTTTTTTAATCATTTTTTGTTTAAAAACTGACACATTTAAGTTCAAATTTCTTAACAGAAATGTAATTGTGACAGAATGAAATTTTCCATAAGACTTAATTTGACATGCAACTTGCCAAATCTGAAATCTCTTAGACATTTCCAGTCATTGAAATAGACATGATTTCACTCCGAGAGTTTTATTTCTTCAACTGCTGAGTGTTTCCATTTAATGTTTACCTAGACATTACAATAGCCCCTACAAAACGAAAGGTGTAAATCTCATTTTAAATTTAGAAATTTGGCAGAAGCAAGCGCTGCCACTTTGTCAAGTAAGCAAGGTTAGATGGCTAGATATTTCATAGGCCATATTCCTAAAAAAAAATTAAATGTCCCCCCCCCCCCCCCCCCGTTGCTTTAATGCAACGTTAAGCTAGTAACAAGAGCTGTCTTCTAAGAGCTGAAAAGCTAAGCAGTAACCATATGTCTATATTTTTATCAGAAGGTTATCTTTCATATCTAATAAGGTTATTAATTATCTAATTAGTAAAAAATCATAATAAATAATATATCACATAAACATCGCGTGACCGCCTGGAAATAAATTATCGCCCCCGCAACGAACTGCCCAACATCTTTAACACATTGACTCCTCACCCACAAGCCTGTTCAAAAATAATTTACAAGCCAAATCATATTTTTTTCATCAAAAAAAGTAAGACCGTTTTAGTCTATACATGCCGTAGATGTTAGGATGCAGAATATAATATAACGTCAGTTTGATTAAGCTTCATGGTATTGCCTGCTTGTTCTATGGTACGAAATGGTCCAAGAAAATATAGGCTACGTAGGGGACAAAAAAATATGGTGCAAAAACGATCACTTCATTAGCCCAATAAAATACAGAACATTAAAACAAAAAAAACAAAAAAACCTCCATTTCATCTCATTACCTCAATAAGATACAGAACATTAAAACAAAAAAAAAAACCTCCATTTCATTAGCCCAATAACAGGTCCACCAGTAGGACATTAAACTTTATTAACCCAATACGATACAAAGGATATAAATCTAAGGTATAGGGCATAAACACCACGTCATTTTCATTAGTACATAAGGGTATTGAATTCATTTCATTTTTACAACCGTGCATTTTATTAATAGGCCTATAATAAGGTACAGAAGACATACAGTTTCATTTCATTAACTGCCCGCGTAGCGTTTTCAACCTGAATAATTACCACATAATTAAAAATGAAAATATCCTGGAATAACTGATGCAAGAAATTCATCAGAAATAATGATATTTCCAAGAGAATCATTAAAAAACTCATTTACTAGAAACAATGAAACCCAGTTATTACGACTGTTGCGTTTTTGAAGGATGGGCATACTTAATCAAGAATAGGAAAAGCCCATAGGTAAATAACAAAGCAAACAAAATCTACTGGGGATACAATCATTATATACCTGTCATAACTACAGTCACTGGGGTAGGGGATGGGCAGTGGCGTATTTATGCGGTAATTTTTTTGGTCACATCAAAATTCGCGTTAGATGTATTCTCTGGCCGCCCATATTAGAAAATTTTCCAGAAGTGAGGCTCTCCCTGACCTCATCTGGACTAATGCCCTCTAAAGGACACCTGGTAGCATACACACACTCCCTCTCCCCCCCCTCACACACACGATCATAAGCTATCGCATGATTCAAATTATTCTCCAACAGATGATCCTTCTATAAACAGACTTTCAAGAGCAGAACCAGTGATATTTGTCAGAACACCCACCCCCTCTTTCCTTACTTCAGCGATTACGGTCAATGGATCTA